GTCGGTGACTGGGTAGTCTGACAGGTCAATACCCAGAGGTACTGAAGCTCAGGACCGAGCAGAGGTCTCCCACTCCCGCGACTCCTACTCGATGCAAGTCAGCAGTGGGGTCCTTCACTGGATGCGCCGGTGCATTGACGCCAAAAATAGATGACTTACATACGGAGTACTTATCTTACATGATCGATAATTATTATTGTCAGTGTCAGGGAGACTCTGGGATCTGAATGACACCAGGTCCGAAATCCTCGGCCTGTCTTCGGCGCTAGTTATCTCGATTACTGACTAATATACATAGATCTGGAATCTGGCCTAAAGAGGAAAACCTACCATCTAGGGACTTCGTATACCTAGAGTACGGAGTAGTACTTACTAGAGGAATACTCGGACCAACGACTAAACTGCATCGCCGTTCTTAACGTCGCGCCAGACCTGTAAGGTGACGCCACTTCACAGACCACCGTACTTTATTGCAGAGTGCAGACAGCAAGCGTAACTATCCCGGGGAAGTCATATAATATTTATTGATCCAGAACCCCCCTGGCCAAGAGTCCAACCGCAGCCTCTCAGGCTAGCTCAGAAGGTCGGAACGTTCGACCAGATGTGATAAATCAACTTGACTGATCTATTTGCACCGGAGAATTATGTGAACAATAGGGTGGTACGAGACTTTTGAGTTATCAAATACAGTTACAGTCCATACGATTTGGCTATCGAATATCAGTTGCTTTAGGAGAACGAAAAACGCAGAATAATCTGAGCTCGAACTCCAAATCCTACTAACTAGAGTGACTACTCGCCAGCGGAGCTCGATATGGAAATCGCAGTCCGAAGACAGTGCGCTCGACCGAACTACTCCGTACCCATCGAATCGCGATAAGAGTGAACGATGTTTGTCCAAATGCGTTGATTGCTGTTTGGCTGCTTACCAGCGCGTTCAGGAATGATGATCGGCAACGACCCCAATCCATGGCCGAGGTCTTCAAGCGTGGGCGCGTACGGAGTAAACACCCCAATTCCGAAGCTCCATTGATTGTTTATTTTTTATTTATTTATTTATTTTTGGACAGGGACAACGACCACGCTGTTCCTGACTAGACCACATGGGCGGATTATCATCACAACGGTTCCAGAGGGACACAAAAAACAACGGCGGGCACCAGGAGGCGATCTGCAAAACCCAATTGATCAGAGAAACGGCAAAGCTTAACCGTAATTCGAACCTCGGACGAGTGGTCACTGGTAGGATACCACAGAAGAAGAAAAAGTACCTTTCCGATTTCTACGGTTACTACATGACACCACTAACGTCCATGCGACAGGAACATATGCAGCTGGGTGGCAGTGGGTTACTGTTGGCCGTTGGCCGGGATACTACGAAGTAAGTGGTTAACAGAGGGGATCTACAGTGAACATCTCAGACGAAAAGTCTGGACTTCTGACAGGTACAATATCTTGCCAATTGGTCTGATCGGCCAAATTTTCCAACGACCTACTCCACAGTTTCGGCCGAACTCGGCCACGGTCAATCCGTGCGATCGAGAGACTGAAGATAGGTCGATAGATGCGTGTAGTATTCCATAGTTCATACCGGTGTAGTTTCCCTAAGGAATAGGGATGATGTCCTCGGAAGGCTTCATGGGGGAGGGGGCAGCAAAGGAAGGACAAGAAAAAAAAGGGGGGGAAGGAAGGAACAAGAGTCTTATTTTTAGCACGACGTTACCATTGGCATAGAACCAGGAGAATGGAAATTAATTGAATCCCACAAGTATCCTCCGTACTCTAAATCTCAAGTGCCGGGCGCAGATTGCTGAGTTAAGAACCAAGTCCGAGCCTCTCACTGTCTCACAGTCCCAGCCTGGTCGTCTTGGTCTTCTTTCTCCAAAGGGAATACTTCGAGTTCCCACGACGTCAATAGTTGCTCCATTGACCATTGCCCAGGAACTTCAAGGAAGCACTTGTTCCGAGGTCCCCACCGGCGATGGATTCCCATTGCTAGTCGAACCCTAAGCCGGTCCATTTGCAGCCGAACTTTTAGTTTAGTCCATCGTGAGAGATTCCATGAGGTTCTCGACGGCGGCAAAAACGGGGCAATAATTTACGGGATCCTTTACAGCATTACGGTACGTTACCCATTTATGACCTACAGCATCTCGAATGACGCCGTTTCGTTTGATCGTCGACCCTGAAACCCTCGAGAAGTTCTGCATCCGTTGGCATATTCCACCTTCTGTCGGATGCTGGGTGCCCACCACGTTCGAGGCCAGAAGATCATACGTCGGATTGTCGGCATGGGTGCCTTTGTCCGGTGGGATCCCGGATCGTCTTAACTAACTGACTGCGTTCAAAGGACTCAAAACCTCATGAGGACAGGTTCTGTTTACATACTCCGTAGTCCGTAAGTTAGTTACACATTCGCAGACTAGCGATCAACAATGAATAACTACAGATTGCAGACTGAATAATGGATGGATCGGGTCATCAAGTCCGTTGGGAACTAGGCACTGTATGTGCTGAGAACGTGCGGGGGATTAATCAATACTGACAATCTAAACCTGCAGCCTGCATATGAATTGTGGTGATGGTTCGGACTACGGAGTGCTACATCCTACTTTCGGAATTCTAACCTCACAACCAGGTAGGTATGGCAGTACATACATCATTGTGCTCTATCACTCTATGGCCTTGATATCAGGTATGTGCTCCGACGAGAGAATGTCCCTATTCCATAGCTCTGTGCCACGGGTTGGTGCTATCCCCAAATCCGATAAACATCCGTCCCCCCCCTTCCAAATACCTACTCCGAGTACTCAGTCGAAAGGCTGAACACTGAATAATGGATATTCCACGATTGTCCGAGCGGCCTCTGATAGGGTTACTCGGCTTTGCACTCCGTTCTTTCCCTTCCCTTCTCCCCACTTTTCGCGCCCTCTCGGACTCAAATGTGAACGAAGTTCGAATTTTCTGAAACTCCCAGGCCTCGGTGGGACTCGTGATCATCACAACGTCTAGGCCACATCCACCAAGGGCTCCTAAGCCTCCTCGAGACCTCGTCCAGCACTAACTGAGCAGTGGGCACATACTACATTGGGACACCCTGTCTCCTACTCTCATCCTCCGCATCGGAAGAGAGATGCGAATCTGGAAAAACACGGATTCTCCCATGCCCCCACCGTCTCTTGACTACATCGAATGCCAAGGACCCCGATTACGCATTCCCTTTTGACTAGTTATATGATATATCCTTCCAGAAAACCTTTCAATAGTACGGATCAGGTGAAAACGATGTCGTTATGCGACTATTGACCGTTGGCATGACCATCATGGGTAGAGTTTCGGGCTACTATCCGCAGGATTCTCCGGAGTTTTCCCGTTCAACGAGGGGATTCGGATACGAGAAAACTGAAAAGAGGGGGAAGAGCAAGATGGCGATGAAGAGGGGGGTAGAGAAGGGGGTGAAAAACGGACAGACCAGGATCGTCTACTCCGACGGAGTACACAGTAGTGTCTACTCTAGCCCTTCTCTTCGCTCTTTTCTTCACTTCCCTCTGTTGCCGCAACCGAGCTGACACTGACTCGCGATGCGCGAATAACCTCCTCGCTGACTTCTGTGATGGGATGTTGCTTGGAATGGCTACGTGCAGAATCTGAAACGCCTAATGTGTCCCTGATGGTTTGCAGCACATGGCCAGAGCGCGTGAGGTCGACGCCCTATTTTATAAGTATCCCTGACTAATTACTCCGTACTTCTTCACATTCACATTGTCTTTTTTAGATTACAACTAGCATTTAGCCCAGGAACGAGGTCAACTATCCATGCAGGTACCCCCGGTAGCACGGGTATTTCTACGGAGTACGGCAGGGCGAGCCACAGAAAAGAAAAAGGAAAAACCAATAAAATCGGTTTTTTGGGGGGGGGGGGGGGGGTGGTTGCGTGTGGGACACTCCAGAATTTTATCCACTAGGCCAACAGGCTAAAGTAGCCGCAGAGCCAGTAACTCAAAAAAACATAATGGATTCATTGGATTGCGAGACTAACGAATGATTTACATGGCCGGAATGGAGAGCGGAAGACCAAAAAAACAACAAAAAAATTGTGAAAAAAAGGAGGGAAAGCCATGAGAGGAAGAAGCAAACGGATCCTCCTGGCGATCATGATTTCTCCGCCGTTGGTATACATCTGAGGCCACGAGAAAAGTGAAAGCTTATTGAAGTTTCAGATCCAGCATTGGTTCTATACATAGAAAGATTTCTATCTCAATTACATATCCATATCTAACTATAGCAGCGATTATCGAAGGAGTTCAGGATCCCGATGAGATCTGAGACGACAGCGCATTCCGCGTCGCTGTATCAGAATCCAAATTCCGAAGGAGAGAACCCCCTCTTAAACCTGATAGAGAAGGAATGTCTCGGATTTAGCGCGTCATCGTCGAATCTTAGCCTCAACCGGAGTTTTCGCCATATCTGGAACGACGGCGCATAACTTGGCCCTCGTGCACTGGGAACAACTTGGTGCGTGCTTTGAGAATCATTGCCCCATGGATTTGAGAAATAGAGTTCCTAAGGTCCAGACTAGAAGTCTCAGGGTGAACCCGTCCTTGTTGATGGGTTTGTCGATTTACTGCCAGAGCCATGTTGCAGGCTTTGCAACCCAGCCAAGTCTCGTCACGGATGCAACCCCAAGAAATGACTGCGGCCTCGAACATGCCCTAATGCCCTGGTCATGCGCATCTTCACCAACAAGGGTTAAGCATGCAGGATAAACGACGGCGGGGAAGAGGTAAGAAGTGGAGGGATTGACCGTCGATTGCCGAAGCTCCTACCATCCTCGCGCATGCGGCAGCGTCGTATTCCCAAACAAGGGATCCTGAAACAAGAAAGCTCTGTCATCGGTGGACGGGCGGCTGCTGATTTCTTCTCTGACATAGTTTGGGCGTGACATGGCCGGAAGACTGATCGTCCTGCGCTGTGGCTACCGACATCGGAAAACTGCCATCTCAACGACGACCTCCTCTGCCCCTCCCCCTCCCCCTCCCCCTTCCTCTCCCTCTGGACGACGACTGGCCGGACGCTTGGATGGCCGATATGTCCTGCTTGCTCAAGTTCAGAGTGCCGCCTGCAAATTTTCCAACGGAAGGTCCTCCAACTCCACGTTCCCGGTGCCCGGCGCCGCCCGCTTTCTTTGGTGCGGGTTTTTCTAGAATGATTCCATTCTCCTTTGCTTCTTTCCGTCGCTTTTCTTCTCTGTGTTCAGCTTTGGCTTTGATACCTCTTCGGTGGGATGAAGGCATATTCTGCTTATAAAGCGACTCCTTGGCCCCCAAGGTTTGCATTCTCAAGTCAAGAGCCTTGAGTCGATTTTTGCCCGTGGGCGCGAGCTCCGATGCGGACTCCAGAAGGTGGGATTCCTTAAGAAGACGTTGCAGCGCAAGGTCATTCTTCAGGTCATCAGCATCGTTTGCCTTGTCTTCATCGCTTTTCTCGACCTTTTTCGGGGTGGGTTTTTCCGTCGTCGCATTTGAAGCAAGAGATGGAGGTTTCGCGGTCTGTGGTTTTCTTGCATTAGACAGTCGCAAAAGACAGAACTTGCACATATAATGTAGACGTACCATAAAAGCCTTGCGAGCTTTCTTGTCGAGCAGGTCCCTCTTTTCCCTGGACGGTCCTTGATGCTCAACTACCTCGACTTCATTGTTTCCGTCATCCTCTCCAGAGAGACCACCCCATTCCGATCCATTTTCAGACCCCTCAGAGTCTTCCTCGTCGGTTCCATCGGCCTCCTCTTCACTTTCTTCCCGGTCATGCTTGGTCTGATCCCCGGGCAGATCTAAAGGCTGGAATTGTGCTTCGAAAAACTTGCGGAAAACGTCATGGGAATTGGTATCGATAGGAGTCGTAGAGTTCGTTTCTTCGTCTTCGGCAGTGGTGGATCTCGACACAACGGCCGCGTCCCTCTTTCGTTTTCCAACCATGTTCAATTAGTGTCCTGTGTATCTGTAGCCAGGCTGGGGATTAAAAGGACAATTCACGGAGTTGCGAGATAAACCGGTGTTTTTTTTTTCCCGGGCCTAGAATAGCACGGTCTGGTCACGTGCGATAAGATAAGCCAGCCCCTCGTCGGATTTCCACAACTAAAATGTTCATCACTTAAGCACGATTATAGTCAGGAAACAAGAACGAATTGAGTTGAACAGGATGACCAAATTCAGGCCTTGTATTGACCTTCATTCTGGTCAAGTCAAACAGATTGTCGGAGGCACATTGAGCAATGTATCCGCAGACTTGAAGACAAACTATGTATCGAAGCTCCCCGCCAGCCATTACGCCGAATTATATCGGAAGCACGACTTACGCGGGGGCCATGCTGTGATGCTTGGGCCTGGGAATGATGAAGCTGCAAAGGAGGCACTCAGGACGTGGCCTGGGGGGATCCAGGTTGCAGGTGGCATCAACGACAAGAATGCCCAGTACTGGGTTGATCAGGGCGCCGAGAAGGTAGGCCAGCATTGTGATAGATCTATATACCTGGTTTTGCTTTGTGTTACAATTATAACTCCTATGGTGGCAATTTGCTGCTGCTTCTGCTGCTGCTTCTCGAGACTTGTCGCTTGCTTCTTTCTATGTTCCCACACCTAAGACAATAAATGGGCTTACCATATCCTCGCAGGTTATCATTACATCTTTCCTCTTTCCAGAGGGGAAGTTCTCTCTCGAGCGACTAGAATCAGTCTTGTCGGCACTTGGTGGTGATAGATCGAAGCTGGTCTTAGATCTGAGCTGCCGAAGAAAGGACAATACCTGGTTTGTGGCTATGAATCGCTGGCAAACCATTACGAAGATGGAAATCACCCAGGGTTAGTTCTTGCTCTTATTCTCATTCCGCTGCTACTCTCCTTGCCTCCCATTTATTTATATTCACCGCTTCTTCCCGATATCTTGCCTCTTGATCTGCGCTTTCCTGCGGTGCTAACATGGATATAGAATCGATTTCACTATTGGAGCCGTATTGTTCCGAGTTCCTTATTCATGCAGCCGACGTCGAGGGATTACAGCAGGGTATCGATGAGGAATTGGTGTCCAAGCTAGCTCAGTGGTGCACCATCCCCATTACATACGCTGGAGGTGCGCGTAGTTTGCAGGATCTAGAAAAGGTTCACACGAGCAGTCAAGGGAAGGTTGACTTGACGATTGGAAGCGCTCTGGACATTTTTGGTGGGTCAGGCGTGACATTTGACGAGTGTATTGCGTGGAATAAATCTCATTAGGCATGTGGAAAATATTCTAACGCTCAAGATTGGGGGGTTGACATTACTATATCTTGACGTATTCATTGCTATATATATATACACACGCATACTACGGAGTATTCACGGAACACACATAATCCAGACGTTCAACTTGTCATTGTGGAATAACATGCTTACGGTGTAAATTAAAGATTGGAAATCGAAATACTCCGGTGACCTCCCTGCTTATTTTGCTTTAATTAATCTCCCCTTGTCCTCACCCAACTGTTGCGACTAATTTCTGTCATCTGAACGGTTGGTGACGCGGACAAGCGCCAGAAGTGTCGATATCGCTACCGAATGCGGTTAAAGCGTCTGCCTCCGGAGCTTCTCTCCCGCCCTCGCTGTGAACATCATCATCCATCAACGACCGCTCCTCCATCCATTCAGCCTCTGGACGGGATCCAAGCTTCACCTTTCATTCCGCGCTCCTGTCTCAAATCACTGTTCTTCATTTTTAGATAAGCACTGCGCCGCCATTCAACCCCGCTTGAACCGCATCAGCAACGTCGCATCAGTCAGTCACTTATCGATCACATCATTCAGCCGCCACCGTCAAGATGAAGCCTGTCGTGTCGGTCTTAAATGCGTGGTCCTGGTATGTTATATTGAATCCCATGGCCTTCTCACCGATAGAGTACTGACAACATTCGTTGATGCAGCGTGGTCATCTCTCTTTTCGCCATTGTCATCCTTTCAGTCCTTGGATCATTATACAAGGTTCGTTGCCGCCGTATCCGTTTGCTACAAGCCAGTCCTGCATACTGCAAATATGGTATTTACAAGAGGACTAATGAGGAATCGGATTATAGAGGGAACACCATGGATTCACTGGCTCCGAGGGTGAGCCAGAGGACGGTTCTGCAGTTGCAGCCTCGCTTTTCACAGCCGTTTTCGTTTACATCGTACGTTTGCTCGACCTTCGACTCTGGACAAACACTGGACTCATGTTTGCTGACTCTACTATTTTCTCTTTCAACAGGCTTTCTTCGTGTTTTGCGCCTTCCAAGCCTACCTTCACATGCGGAGTAACAGGGGCGGAGCTATATCCCTGAACTAGACGGTTTCTTTTCTCATTCTGATGTTTCCTACCGACCACAATATCCATCGCCTGCATTTGACCGCTTCATTAGTCCGCTCGAAATGTGGATGTGCCGTGTCGGTGACACCCTCTGGATTTGTGGGCGGGTGTGAGCCTGTTTCAAACCCTGCGGCACCGACGGTTATGTCGGACCGCCTGGTAGAGTCCCTTGCCCCATTTTTGATACCTATGCCATGATCGAGACTGTTCCACAGTCTTGCCGTGTCTTTCTATTGTTATTCGTCGTTGAGGTTGGACGTTATTACGTCACCTCTTCCCGGCATTCAGTCAATTCCGGAGTCTATTGCGGTTTGTATATAGTGTGTTGGGATAAATAGATTTATTATTTTGCTACTCGCTACCATGTCCATGTGCTTTCCGGGAGAATTATATCCAGCCCGGGAGAGGAATTCTAGATCGCCACCTCTTCATTGCATGTCGAAAGATATGTATGTGAACTCATTTTATATACCAAGTCCGGGATAGATCTAGACTAGCAAACACCCCCGAGTAATGCTTGAGAAAGAAAGACAAGAAATCACCTGATAAAAGTAGTCCTCGAACGCCGCATACCACGTCAAATAAAAGCCAAACTTTTTATCAACTATGCACCTTTTTTAATTTTCTCTTCTTGAACGAGGGAAAGAAATCCGTTATCATAAAGAATCATGTCAGAAGCCCCAACGCCATGGAGGCTATCGTGCCCTTACAAATCGTCATATTCAAAGGGCTCCAGCATCTTGGACATGTAGGGACCATCCAAGCTGTAGCCTAGTCGACCGTAGTAGTTGCGCACACCGACGCCCGAAATCACACTGATCTTTAGACTGCCGTGCTCCTCGCGCGCGATCCGTTCCGCCTCTTCCATCAGGAGGGTTCCGAACCCGCGATGCTGGAACTTGCGCGGATCCCGCCCGTGAAGCGGCACGGCAGAACCGTAGACGTGCAGCTCTCGCACGATACTGGTTTGCTGGCCGGTGAACTCGGGGCGGAAGGTGTGCGTGGCACTGCACTTCCGCAGCCGCAGCAGGCCGATGAGGATGTCCTGCTTGGGGTCTTCGTAGGCCAGGAAAGTCTCCCACCCGCCGTTGGCGTAGTAGTCGCGGCGGACGAGCTCGACCTGCGAGGGACGGATCTTGTTTTTGACTTCGTTGATGCCGACTTCACGGGTGCGAACATCCCGGCAGGTCGTGCCGAAGTCCTTCATTCGCGCCAGGGCCAGCTCGCGTAGGTTGCCGTTCTCGACACCCGAGGTCACCAGCGGCATGGGGATATCTCGCTGGACTCGGTAGATACGGGTCCAGGGGGGCACCAGGGCGAGGATTCGTGCCACGATGTCAACCAGCGCATTGGGGGTGTAGTTCTTGTAGCGACCCGTCCGCCAGAGTTCGTAGAGACCGGTGCCGCGAATGACCAGCGTAGGGTATATCTTCAGCCCATCCGTTCGGAACGCGGGGTTCTCGAAATACTCCTGGAACTGGAACAGGTCACGCTCCATGCCGACGTTAGGCAGATCCGGCATCATGTGGCTGACGACCTTGAAACCAGCGTCCTTGGAAAGCTTGAAGGTCTCCGCAACGGCGGCCACCGTATGGCCTCGGTTCGTGTCCCGGGCCACATCCTCATACAAACTTTGCACGCCGACCTCTAGTCGCGTACATCCATAGCGCAGCATACTACTTAGATGCGTATCCAGACAATAATCGGGCCGAGTCTCGATGGTTATACCGACGCATTTCACGTTACTCATTTCGCCCGCCTGCACGGCTTCGTCGACGTTCTCCGTCTGGTATCCACTCAGTGCATTGTGAAGCTGGGCGACAAAAGACTCCCGATAGTCCTCGGGCAAGGACATGAACGTTCCACCCATGATGATATATTCGACCTTGTCCACGCTGTGACCGAGAGATTTGATCTGATCCACCCGCCCCCGCGCCTGTTCGAATGGGTCGTAACGAGCACGGATCGCACGCATGGACGTGGGCTCGTAGCCGGTGTAGGATTGTGTCGAGTACTCGAAATCGGAATCGGGACCACCGGGACAATAGACACAGATGTTACCGGTGTATGCGATATGAGGGCAACGGTGGGGTTTGCTCATGACCGCGACGACAGCGATTCCCGACGACGTTCCTATCCCAACTGGTTAACAAGGATTCGGGGGATATTAGAGTAAATATGAAGGGCCACCATACGGATCGGTTTCGCAATCAACTTCGGCAGAATATACTTCTTGTAGTGTTCGGGGACGGCGGCGATAATGGCCGTCAACGGGGGCAAATTGCTCAAGGCATGCTTTTTCGCGACTTGACTCCGCAGTCGGTTGAGGTTGAGATCCTTCTTGGGTTTGGTATAATCCACATGCGACTCGTAATCCTGGATGAGAGCGTTGGCGATGTCCGAACAGGCCCTCATGTACCGTTCATTCTCCGGGGCGAGCTTTGCATTCTGCTTCGGCTTGGAGGGTGGCGGCATCGTCATTGTCGCGGTCGCCATGGTGGTGGGAGGGGTTCACAGCGAGCGCCAAACACTAGTCGAGATGCGATAAAGGCAGCAAATCCACAGTTTAGTCGGAATGCCGAAAAGAAGTCGGGGTTGCGACGTCGAGATCGAACGAAGAGGGGCCGAGGAGCAGAGAAAGACAGAGGGAAAAAAGCGCCCGCAGCACAACCGACCGCCCGCGACAATTCGGATCCGCTTAAAGCTTTGTCCCGAAAAGTCTCCATCCCGACGACTTCCCTTCCCCTACGGTTTTCCCTCAACTTTCAGGTATTTGCTGCTTCCACTCTGCAACCTGCCCTTCATTCACCTCTCCGCTCTCCCCTCTTCTTCCCCTCTTTTCTTTCGAATCTTTGCGACTCGTTCCGTTCGTCATCATGCAGGCCTTCCGCCGTAACACCGTCTCTGCCATTCGGAATGCTGCTCCCATGCAGCGACGAGGCTACGCTCAGGGTGCCTCGCCTTACGCTAGCACCGTCGGCAACCTTCGCATCAATGCGGACACCAAGGTGCTCTTCCAGGGTTTTACCGGAAAGCAGGGAACGTACGTGGTTTGCACCTGGCGCCAAGTCACTTCGTCCAAAACGCTGACGTTGCATTTCTACTTCTCTCCAGTTTCCACGCCGAGCAAGCTATCGCCTACGGTATATACCCACCGCATGCGCGCCAAATTGAGACAGCATATTGCTGCCGTGGCTAGCCGGAACACTGGACTTACAAGTTTCTAGGCACCAAGGTTGTCGGTGGTACCAACCCCAAGAAGGCCGGCTCGACGCACCTTGACAGACCCGTTTTCGCGAACGTGCGCGATGCCGTGAAGGAAACCGGTGCTACCGCTTCTGCCATCTTCGTCCCGTATGGAACCCTACAAGAATACCGAGATCTACAACTCTAGATGCTAATTGAACACTAGCCCCCCTCTCGCCGCTAAGGGTATCGAGGAGGCCATCGAGGCCGAGGTTCCTCTGGCTGTCTGGTAAGTTTCGTCGGCCGACAATGAAGAAGCTGGACTTTTTTTGACGCGATATTTTCGATGTAGTATCACCGAGGGTATTCCCCAGCACGGTATGATCCCCCATTTTCCTTTTGGTCCCTAATAAATCTCCGCGCCAAATGGCGTTTTGTGACCGGAAACTGACTGAATTTGGGTAGACATGGTCCGTATCACGGATATCCTTAAGACCCAGAACAAGACCCGTCTGGTCGGACCCAACTGCCCTGGTATCATTGCTCCCGTAAGTAGTTATCTTATCCTTGCCCGTGGTATTCTTCGCGATGTCGGAAAGCTGACTCGTTCTTCAATGTGGTATAGGGTCAATGCAAGATCGGTATCATGCCCGGATTCATCCACAAGCGTGGCCGTGTTGGTATCGTCTCCCGTTCCGGTACTCTGACCTACGAGGCCGTGAACCAGACCACCCAGGCCGGCCTTGGTCAGTCTCTCGTCGTTGGTATTGGTGGTGATCCCTTCTCCGGCACCAACTTCATCGACTGCCTCAAGATCTTCCTCGAGGACCCCGAGACCGACGGTATCATCATGATCGGTGAGATCGGTGGTAGCGCTGAGGAGGACGCCGCCGAGTTCTTCAAGGCCAACAACATCCACAACAAGCCCGCCGTCAGCTTCATCGCCGGTATCAGTGCTCCCCCCGGCCGCCGTATGGGTCACGCCGGTGCCATTGTCAGCGGTGGTAAGGGTGGTGCCGACTCCAAGATCTCCGCTCTCCAGGATGCCGGAGTCGTTGTCGAGCGCAGCCCTGCCGGTCTGGGCAAGGCTCTGCTGGAAGAGTTCGTCAAGCGCGACCTGGTTTAAATGAGATTGCAGTCGGGATTTGTTGGTTGATGCAATGAACCAGAGCCTGAGCGGCTGAGAAAGAGCGGGAGGAAGAGATGGTGTGTCGCGACCCATGGTGTAATGACCGTGGTTGCGACGTACCATTTCCTCAGCTCTGGATTTATATTCTCTTGAACTACTAGACGGTCCCTGTTTCTTTTCTTTATTGTCCGTGTCTATGATGACTCTTGTACTTTCCCCCATTGTGTTTTTTTCCTACGTTTAGAGATGCTAGGGAGTAATTAGTTTCGATATGTAAATTTTTGGTTGTTTACAATTTCTTTTCTGGAGGGATGGTAGGAGAGGTGTATCCACAAGAGCATCGATGCGAGCATGCATGAGGGTATACTGGACACTCAAGAGAGGCAAGGGATGCATACCACACACAACCTCTGGGTTTGTTTGTGTTGGGCCTCAGGCCGGGCGGAATGCGCTGAGGTCAGCATACACCCACGTGACTCCCCGGCGGGATTTCGTTGCTTGAGGAACGGCGTTTTCTGTTTATTCTTCTCTCGCCGAGTCCCTCGAACCACCAAAGAAAAAGAGCCTTCACCGCGGCTGCGACGTGCTGTCTAGAGCCCAGTCGACTACTGCACGATCTGTTCTTGATGCCCTGACGACCATCTGCTGAACTTCGGACTGCTGCATCGGCCTGTCGCCTGCTGTGCTTCTCTGTGCCGTCATTTGCGTGTGGTCGAGGCTGCCACAGGACCAAAACACACGCTATTGCCCGTAGTTACCGGCTGCCACCCACCCGGCAACTGAACAACCTGCTGCGGAAAATAAAGCAGAACAGACAGTAAAAGATGCCTCCCGATATGGGTATTTGCTCCCCGTTCTTTCTGTTTCTCGTTTCCGTCCTGTCCCTTGCCCATTGTATTGCCTTCTGCATCTTGTTTTCTCGCGCCTTGCCCCTCGTCGTCTCGCGGCTGGCCATGAGGTCACATCGCCGTTGGACCAGCGAATGCTAATTTGTTATTGGTACAGTAGGCCGAGCTGCCTCGCAAGCTTCAAGTGTTGCATCGCAGACAACGCAAATAGCGGCACCGCTAAGCCGCCCAGGAACGGCCGATCTCATGAGATCGCGTTCGGAAACCGTGGTATCCAGAAACAGTCGTCGCCCCAGGTCGCGAGGCTCGACGGCCAGTATCCACTCCAACACCACCCAGCAGACTCAGGACCAGCAACTGCCTGATGGCTTCTCTCAATTCCTCCCCGCCCAACCCGCTGCCGGCCACAATGTCTTTGGAGGCAACCCGGAAGACATCATTATGCGTTTTGGGCAGCAATTGTCGCATCCAGTGAACGGCTCGCCCCTTGACCCGACTCTCCACGAGGCTCATCATCCTGTGTTGCCCCGAGCGGACGACTTTCCCAACCACGCCATGCACGGTCATCATTTGTCTCATCATTCGCTGTCGTCGGGCCTGGCCACACATGGCTTGCCCGGCATGCCAATTCCTCAGTACCAACCAATGTATGATAGTGGTATTGAAAACCACGTCCCCGACCATATGCTCGAGGAGAACGATAATTCCGAAGCCGGTATTAAAAAGAAGAAGGGCTCTAGCTCCTCGCTAGCGAATGACAACGAGTTGCGCAAGTTGCTGCGGCAATACGAGGGTTATTCATTAAAGGAAATGGCGGCTGAAGTTCTCAAGCATGAAGGAGCTGGGGGCAAGGCCGAAAAAGTCAAGCAGGTCTTTGCGATGATCTGGTATGTATCTCGTTGAACGCGTCTACTCGCGCTGCAGCTCGGCCTGTTGCTGACGTCTTCCCAGGTTGAAGGAAAACTGCCGCAAGAGTAGTGGATCTGTACGGCGTGACCGGGTATACTGCTGTTATGCAGAGAAATGTGGCACCGAGCGAGTCTCCGTCCTGAATCCTGCGTCGTTTGGAAAGCTTGTGCGCATCATCTTCCCCAACGTGCAAACTCGGCGCCTGGGTGTTCGCGGGGAATCGAAATACCACTACGTGGATTTGACCGTGATCGAAGAGAAGCAACAAAAGCCGCCGCCATTGAACCCCCAGATTCCAGCCAACGCCGCCGGTACACCTCCTGTCACGGAGAGCAAAATGGACACCGATTTTCAAAGAAGGTATGCAGGAGATGTGGGATATGTCGGCGGAGTTGAAGCTCATGTGGCCCCTAGTGTCAGTGCGTTACCGCAACCATCTGCAGATACTGCAATGTTCCCATCACCTACGACCTCTTTTACTCCTCGCTTTACCCCCCAATTGTCGCTACCAGGCTGTGGCTGCCAGCCGGCGCCCCGGTCACCTCCGACATTCCCGGTCACACTTGACAATGTAGCAAGTCATTCCGGAAAGACGATTTACCAGATGCTCCAGCTTCCGCAGACCGACATCGCGGCGGTTGATAACGAAACCCTCCAGCTCCCCGACATCTCTGGTTATCTCCCGCCCAACACCGATTCGAAAGTCGCTGCCGCGTTGGCGGCTCTCTATCGCTCCCATTGCATATCTGTCATAGACAGCTTTCGCTACTGCAAGGAGCGCAACCTCCTGAAATATTTCTCTGCCTTCCATGGCACCTTAACGGTCCCCGTGCAGAAGCTTCTGACCCACCCTAATCTTGCACCATGGATCAAAGAATGTGACTGGCTTATGTACCAGAAAATGATCGCCTTCGTGGCGCCGCTCACCACCCAGGTCGTCCCTAAATTAGTCCTGGACGCCTTTAGCTCGATATCACAGCGCTTGACCGGCCACATTGCGGAGACCTTCAAAACCCAGCCGGCGTACGTGTCCATGGCCAGACTGGTGCCAGCTCAGATCTTTTGCAACTTACTTCGACATATGCTGGACGTGAACCAGTCCGCTAATGCGGCTGCAGCCTGGCTCTGTCACCCTGACAACCGCAATCAGATGTGGTTCGACTTCAAGACTTTGGTTGATCCGAAGGAAATGAACACGCGAGCCAATATTCCGAGTTGCGCCGAACGGACGACGGAGCAAATCTTGAAACATGATATTCTAGCCCTTCTTACTCCCGTTTCCGACCCGAACGCCTCCGCTGGCCTCCCTTTCTTCACCAAGCCGGACTTGGAGGAAGATCTCCAAGCTCATAGATATCCCGTCGACTCTTCTACCAATGGCGAAGAATACAATTTCCCAGACAAGTGGATCTCGTTCATCTTGAACCTACCGGCGGTGTTCCCCAACCACAGGACTCAGTGTATCATAGAAAAGGTGGATGCCTTGTGGGATTGCATCCTTCATCGCCTGACGTTAGGGGGCGCCCAAAGTTTTAGCGCCTGGTGGATGACCAAAGTCTTCTTTCACGAAATGATGTTGTGGCAGGCGGAGAAAGGGGGGTTTATGCGCTACACGCCGAGCACACTACAGGAGGCGGTCTCAGCGACATCGTCGCAACACTCTGGAGTGAACGGCTTTTTGACGAAACAAGCTCACAGCGCAGACGTTGCTCAGGACAGAACATTCATGACACCCAATTTGCCTCAACATGCTGTTGATGCAAAGTCTCGGGCAGGCACCAGCCCCGTGTCGGGGGACGGAGTCGCTCATGCACGAGCATCGTCGCAACCGAACCCCAACCACACCGTGGACAACGACAAGCCCAGCATCTCTGACAACATCGCTGCCTTCCATGCTCCCAACAACGATGACAGTGCCATCGATCTTGACGATGACTCAATGTTGATCACTGTCGGTAAATATGGTGACATGATGGCCTCCGATCCCGCCGATGCTGAGGGCGATGTCGTTGTCATATAATCGGCAATTGCATGTTCGGTGTATTTCCACATTTCCTTTGTTTTTTTTTCTTCTTTTGGAAAACCACACCAGTTCTTCCTTTTTCTTTTATATGCTTATAGGTGGAGTTGGTTCTCTTTCAGGAGTATTATTTTTGGTTGGATGAGTTATTTACATTCATGTACAAGGACAGTTCGGCGTTCGACGATCTTTGCACGAGAAACGAGAAATGAGAGCATCGATTCGAGATACGTCGACCTACGGCATTGCGATTTGTTCAGGTTGACGATCATACGCATTTAATAGCGTGGTTGATCCCGCTCGAAAGCACTACTTACTGTTGTTTCATTTGGCTTTCTTCTTCTATCCACGAGAGACCGAGCCTGTCGCTGTACATAAATTTCGTGGATCAGCGCATTGCGAGTGGTTTCACCTTTTCTTGCTGTCATAACCTCATTTTTCACATGCCCTCTTTCCCCCTATACGCTCTCTATAATCACCCCTTTATCCTCATTTTTCTCTTTCTTTCTTTTGTTTCTCTCAACTTCTTGTGCCCAATGTCCGGGATACCCTTTCGCGCAAAGGTATTATGACTATGCCCTTGAACAACAGTTGGAAACATGTCTGCGCGCGTGCCCTCAGCCATATGAGGGAAACTTGGATCTTCCTTGCTTTGGATGATTGATTCCCCTTGTCCCCAAGCTTTGGATTCTCTTTCAGCTTACTATCTTTGGTTCTGACTCCTTTTAAAGAAAGGGTGCCATCGCCTCTTGGATCTTTCTTGATGGTCACGTTGGACTTTTAATATTACCTCATGAAGCAGTGTTGATGATTTATGTATTCAAGTGTCAAATAGCCTTTTCGAAGTGATCATTTACTTTTTACAATCATTCCATTTTCATGCTTGGTAGGTTTTCACTAGATATATATAACGACGTCACTCGCAACCTATGGGAAGGAGGGAAAAAAGAGGAAAGACAGTCAGTGTCTAGAAAAGTTTGTTGGTTGACATATGATTTAAAAGATATGGGCGTTCGGAATCTACTAACTAGACCAAAAACCTCAGCTGGGCAATGGTCAGCCCTTGCAGTCAACAAAAGAGAGGCAACTAACTACCAACCTAATTATAACCCACTTAATAATGATCGCATGCTAATGACAACCTCAACACCAATATGTATTCTCATACGAAGAGATGACCGTGAGCAAAAAGGAAGACCGAAGACAGATAAAACCATGACAAAAGGGTATTTATATATAAGGGGCGTCATCAACTTCGCGCGACAAAATTGAAAACCGTTCAACGGTGTGACAAAAAGAAAGAAAGGCAATTCTAGGTTGGCAGAGCAGGGAAAACGTGTCTTTGTGAGGGTTGTGTTACGCCTAGGGTTGATTTGCCACATCACCTGAAGGTGCCAGCAGGGAAGAATCGTGGACCCGCAAATCCGTAGGCTGCGATGTTTTGAATATCAATGCTGGTATCGCCGTGAGGACACCAGAGTTGGACTAGAATATAGCGACCGGAGCTGTGTGACGGTTAGCTATGCCCTCAATGCTTTGGGAGGGGTCGTTGGGAGGAAAAACATACGGAGGTGGATCGAACTTGATGTTGACCACGTTCTTGGTTCGCTCGATAGAGAAGCAAGCATGAGCCATGAACGGGCCTGGCTCTGGAGTTTGGGCAGGCCCGGACGAGGACGAAGGGTGGTAGGTACTGGGAGCTGGTGGTCGCCTTGGGAGACGGCCCTCCTCTATGGCATATTGTCGACGCATAACTCGGACCTGTCTCTGTAACTCGCGGCGCCTTTGATGGACGCTGCTCAAGTCGCCAATTTCCAGGTCGCTGTCGCTGAAGTCGCTGTCGGAGCTTATAGGATCTTCCTCGATCTCGTTGTCCACGGCCAGCCAGTCGATATCCGCAACGGAGGAGGGTGTCGGTCCCCCGAAGTCAAGCTCGCCGCAGTCACTACGCTCGGAACGTTCGTCATAATCCATCGTCACTCGGAAATCGGAGATTGGACGAGGTCGACCGTCTGCGTGAGTGGGATTCGGACCCGACTCTGAATTCGACTCACGGCCAGACAGACCCGCGCGCTGGAGCGTTCGCAGCGGGGCCCGATATGAATTCAAATACTCCTGGGACGGTTGCATGCCACTTCTTCGATATCGACGTTGTCGCCGATGGGTGTGATGGTATTGATAGTCAGTGGCCTGGGCAACAAGTTCTTCCGAGCCCATTGCAACAAATACCATTCCTTCTTGCATCCTAAGCCTGCGAGGACGAATTAGTAACTGAGTGAAGTGACCAAGAATTGGTGAGACATACGGGCCGTCATAACCGTTTTTTGGAGCCTTGATCACGATTCGCTTGAGAGAAAACGGCGACTCCCCACGATGCTTTAATATTATGTTGCAACGGTCTGACTTGGTGCTATAGAACGACGAGTCGTTGTGGAGAACGTTCATGGGACTTGCAAGTTCGCCTTCTGGTTCGAAAAGACCTCCATCGCAACTTTCCATTTCCATATTGAGGGCTCCAGGCACTACTTGACCATAATGCCCGTATCGAAACCTTTGCGGACCTTCCCTGTTGTCATCGGAATCGAGCTTTCTGCGTTTGACTCTCCATCGGTCCATAAGGTCATCATCCTCCTCTTCCTCTTCCCCGAGCGGCTGTGGAATGACGGGGGGCATGCTGAGGAGGGGGACGGGCTCGTCGAGGAGGGAAGCGGTGCTGGATTCACGATTGCCTAGTTCCTGGCCGGACCTGCTACCACTTGGGGTGCGGCGCCTGGAAGATCCGCCGGGTGACCGTGAAGAATCGGGGGTATTGGTGTCGGGGTCCACAACGGTGACATTCAACGTTTGTAATCTCTGCATTGCCGGGTGCGGATGACGAGGAAATCTGCCATGAGCCTCTCGGCGTGGTCGAATCTGTGGGACCTGTCGATCTACGGCTCCCCTACTCTCTTCGAAGGCAGGTCGATCTTGGGAACGGCGGTAATGGTTGATCTCTCGGTTAAGGGTTTCTAGTGCGCGAGCGGATGTATCGCGACTACGATCCGAGGTTAACAGGTCTCGCAGGTGTCGCAGATGAGTTGCAGTAGACCTCGGTGGTCGGTCACCGGCCCGATTTCCACGGCCACGGCGAGAGGCGGGAGGATAGTCGTGGTTCCCCGACTAAAAGGAATATGTATGGCAGTCAATAATCTACTTTTTCAGGACCTTGCCGGGGACCGAAGTTGCCTGTCCCAGGAGGAAAGCGAGTCGCGAGAAAGCAGACTTGGTTGGGTTGATCACAAACAAAGAAGGTAGTAGTTCCGGAGTTGACATACCATCCTGCGGAGGCGGTTAATTCTATATAGTGCGGAAGGTGGGAGACGGAGAGAGAGCAGTGGTGTCTGTGTGGAAGATTGATGACAACGGAGAATTGCACTGTACCGGGACGACAGACGAATACCGATGGGAAAATTTATGGAGAAAAAAGACAGAAGTAGCTAGGATGGTAGTAATGGGGGAAGATGAATGAATGAATGAATGAATGAATAATGAATGAATAGATGCAGTGCGGGAAAGAAATGGGGGACTTGCCCCGATAACGTATCGCGCACGTGATCCCCGCATTTCCTCCGGCGCCTTTCTTCCTCGTCGCATTCCTACTTCCTCCTCCCCCGCCATCTCCCTCCCTCCTTCCCTCTCTCCTATATTTGAACTGGTTGCTCAATTCGCTTGCAGCTTACCCTTACTCTTCCGTTTGATTTACTCCCGGATTCTTCTTATCTCTTACTCCACTTCGCCTGATACGGTTGAGCTACTCTCCTAGAGCTACCTATCCTCCAGGAGTAGAACCACCGGGCTTGATATTCCAGCCATAGCTTTCAATACTACCGTTGTCCACACACCACAATGGAACAAACTGATAACACAGCCCAGTCGATCAGCGCCGGTAAGTACAGATACCCTCTCCTTATCGCGACGGGACGCTGACCTTTGAACTTCTGATCATCTCAGACGAGATTGCTCTGTATGATCGGCAGATCCGGCTTTGGGGAGTACCGGCCCAGGAGAGGTGAGTCTCGAGCTGCTCGGGTGGTTCCCTTATGAATGGTCCGCTAACCTCTCTTGCTAGGATTCGATCCGCAAACATCCTTCTGATTACCTTCAAAAGCCTCGCGAACGAAGTCGCCAAGAATCTAGTGCTAGCCGGTATTGGAAAGCTAACGGTGATTGATCATGAAACGGTCAAGGAGGAGGACTTGGGCGCCCAGTTCTTCGTCACGGAGGAACACATTGGCCAGAATGTACATTTCCCCTGACTCCCGACGACATGAACCCATGCTAACTAGCAATCGCAGCGTGCGCAAGCCGCAGCGCCTTCGATCCGTGAAATGAACCCCAGAGTCCACCTGCATATCGACACCGACGACGTCCATACTAAGCAACCGGAATTCTTCGCGGGCTTTGACCTGATCATTGCGACGGAGCTCGACTATGCCACCTACACCACCATCAATGCAGCCTGTCGCATTGCAAACCGGCCGTTCTACGCCGCTGGGTTGCACGGTTTCTACGGATTCGTGTTTGCCGATTTGATCACGCATGACTTCGTCATCGAACGCGCCAAGTCGAACGTGTCGTCGGCCACGCAAGAAACACCGACTCGGAGCATAGTCAACATCACCACGAAGAAAGAGCAAGACAAAGTTATGGAACTGGTCACCAAGCGCGAGACCTATTCGCCCTTAATTCTGGCCAACACCTCGCCCCTGCCCCAAGACTACACTCGCCTGCCCCGGAAGCGCCGACAGGTCACCCCGCTCCTCACCTGCCTTCGAGCCCTGTGGGAGTTCCAGAAACTCAGCGGAGGCCGCCTGCCGACGCCTTCTCACCAGGACCTGGAACTGTTCACCAAGCTAGCCCGTGACCGCCACCATGAGTTGAAACTAGACATCACCACCCTGGACTCTGGCTTCCTGCGCACCTTCCTGCAGAACCTAGGAAGCGAGCTCAGTCCCGTCGCAGCCTTCGTCGGTGGCCGGCTAGCCCAGGACGTGATCAACGTGCTCAGCGCCCGCGAGCAACCCATCCAAAACCTCCTCCTTTTCGACGGCGAGAAATCCCTCTCCCCCATCTACCCTCTCCATCCGTTTTTCCCTCCCGAGGTGGTAAACGCCCTGCCGGCCGTGGTCCCCGTGGCTAATCCTATCTCGGTGGATGATGAGCCGATCCCGGTCCCTGCTAATGGGCAAGGAACTAAGTGAGTAAATAAGTGAAAGGCTTATTTGCGCATTTTTGTTTTACTTTACTATTTTTTCGCCTAGCGGACGGTTATGACTTTTATGTACTTTAATGAAATCTTGGCGGCATGGCCGGCATCTGTGCTGTGAGAATTCTGCATAGCAAGCAGCACACTGGCATCGAGGTTATGATGTGTACGATAGAGAGCTTTTGATTATGTACTCCTCAATATACCTGAACAGTATCTGGTATTCTTTATTACTTGGCATCAGTTCTGTCCTGCATAGAAGATGTCAGGTCGGTACCTTAGTTCTTAGTTTTTGGAGAAAAACATTCAATTAATGATAAAACTATTGAGACAAATGTATAAACAACGCCGTTGTTTCAAACCACTAACCAAAGTTTAAAATCCCAAACACCAAGAGGTAGGCCAGACAGGAGTAAAATGAAGGCGCGGGATGTTTTTGGAGGAACCCCTGTAGATGATAATATATAGACCGGACTGAAATCTTTTTCCATAAAGTTCACCGATCGTACCAAAAACACTAGATATATTTAAAAGGGGGGGGGGGGGGGGGGGTAGATCAAGCAAAAAATGAAAATGGTAGAGAGAAAATTTGCTTTCAAAATATCGGAAATCGTTTGAGATCAATGCGACGACTCCTTCCCAACCAAGGGGGAGTTTTCTTCATCTTCAACTCTTCTGGGACCCATGGAGTGCCCTTCCCCACCGTGGGTCTTGTCTTCGTCTTCCTCGTCAGAGATAAGACCTTGCAGCTCGAAAGCCTCGGCGTCCTGGATACGCTGGTTCTCCGAAGGCGAGCGGGTGTGGCCGTTGGGCTGAGACCGGTGAGCCTTCGATCGAGACGAGCCTTGGCCTTCACTCTCGTCATTCTCGGTAGAACGAGATACCTTAGCGGACTCAGGCCATGCGTGGACAGCGTAGATGTGAAGAAGTACGTTGACAACTAGAATATGGTATTAGTGAACACTCTCCACGGGCTAAGATGCGCGAAATAAAGCGGTTTATCGTAACACTTACAGAGGAAAAGAATGAAAGCGATGCTGTACAGGATCAAGACATAGGACACATGGGTGATTCCGGCAGCATCAAGAAGCATCATTTGCTCCTCAGTAGCTCCCATGAACAGAAATCCCGAGGCGTACAGCAGCTATTTTTTTTTTTTGGTTAGTTCAGGTTATGAATTGATAGATAGCCATCGGGATGCACTTACGAAAGGAGGCAAATATTGGAAGCTGTTGGGGTCCGTGCCATCCGTGCTAAGGGTGGATTTGTCTCTTAGGATAAACGAAATCTCGATGATTCGAGTGAACCCGGCGGCCATCAACGTGTAGCCGAAGATGCTGTGGATCATAGTACTGATCATAAGATGCTGGGGATGGGCAGACATGGCAAAGCCGGTGAGCAGAATGACAATGGCCGGGATCAAGTTCCGCTTGGGCTGGCCGTTTCGCTTGCGACTCAACCACATTCCCAAGAGTCCGGCGCACCACCAGACGATACCCATGGTAGTGTGTTGCAGGTCGTTATGCGCCCACGGTTGGCCCCATCGGTGTTCAGTGAAGGTGTTGACACATCCCCAGGCGGCGATCACCAGGGAGTCGAAGAACTCCTGACTCCGGCCGGTGCGGCGCAGCCAAAACTGGCCCACCAGAAGGAGAATGGTCAACAAGATTCCATAGGCGATGAATGCGCTACCCATGATGAAATGAGCCAGGCACTGTCCCAAATGATCCTCTCGACAGTAGCCCATAGCCGTGATACCTCCGAATAGCATCTGAACCCAGCTGGCGATCGGCATCGCCTTGCCCAGAACCCCATGCGCAACGACGATAACGCGGCGAATCCGCCCGTGAATCCCCCGGGTCAGGTGTAGCTTGAGATACACGCCCAGCACGATTTGCACGACCATCATGAGCATCAGGGAGTTTGCGAACGAGGCATGAACGTTTTTGGAAAACTGGCGACCCTTATGGCCGTGGCCGAGGAAGTAGGCCACAACAGCGATGACCGTTCCGACGATCTGAAGAGGGACATGCCATCGGGAGCGAATGATCTATAAAAACGAGATACACGTGGGAAGTTAGAAAGCACCAAAGAAAACGAACGGATGGAACATACCCCAAGAACCATACCCAACGGGAAGATGATGCCAAAAGCCAAGCCCATCAAAATCATGTGCACCCATAGTGTCGAGTCCTATATTGAATGTCAGTCGAGTCCATGCGCGATGGCCAAGAAACACGCAGGTGGCCCGGAATAGAAACATACGATGGGATCCCCGGAAATGGCGGCACCCTCGGGGACATTTTCATGGCCGCCATGGGCGGAAACGGGGGCGACCAGGAGAAGGGCGGCCAGCACCCCCGGTGAATTCAGTGAATTGAATGCCATCCTCAAAGGGGGTGGAGGGAAATCAAAGAAAAAGAAAAGTAAAGTCGGAGAAGGAGAGGGGAAGGAAGAGAGGAAGAAGGAGAGAAGAAGCGGCGAAACAGGGAGCGACGCCTGAGGCACCGGCCGCGTTTCCGCATCAAATCGGGCGGCTCGGATTGGCCGCAGTGGGTTGGCTCTCGGTATGTACCCGCAGTGCCCTCTGTAAATTGTAACTATACTTCCTACAACTGTCGACATTCCCCCAGTCTGGTGTGTTCACCATGGAGTCGAGAGATCATCGCCTGGTATTTATCCATCCCCAGTTCCGTACACAGCCTTCATTCAGATCATAGACTAACGCCCGGACCAGAACACTCTCCGTGCATCCATCGCAGACCTGGAGTCGCAAACCGCTCAAGTAGAAGCCCAGATTGCTGAAGTCAAATCCAAACTGAAGTATGGTCTCTCATTTAGCCTCCCCTGGCCGACGATTCTAAGTCCATTCTAGAAGTGATCCCTCCGCAACAGTCCAGCGCCACATTCGCCTTCTGCATGAGTATAACGAGATCAAAGACATCGGGCAGGGCCTGATGGGTCTCATCGCTGATGCGCGCGGCGTGCGCCAGATTGTCGTGCAGAGAGAGTACGACGTGGCCGATCGCGATTGATTCGACGATGGATTGAAACGAGTTAAACAAGATCTAGCAGTCGTCTTTGACCTCACGCAGATTATCTTTCTTGTACATATTTCGAACCAAAGGATTTGATTTAATTGATGTCTATTCTACTTTTGGCCTTCGAAAGAAATGAACAAGACAACAAACCACCCGGAACACGCGTCCATAATATCTATTCGTAGAATGAAACAGATAATGCAGAGAAGAAAGGGGACAAGAGAAGAGAAAGAAAAATCAAACAAGACAAAACACAGGTCTGCCAACTAAACGGCACAAAAGCTCGTAACACGTCATGTAGAAATCAGATCGGTGCAATAGAAGGTATCAAGTGGGAGATGGTATCAATATTAGGTATGTGCAGAAGATTAAGAATTATGTATGGATGTTCTAGGCCTTGCCCAGACTCTGGAGGTTGACCAGTTCATAGTAACGGCCCTTGCTGCGGATCAGTTCCTGGTGGTTTCCACTTTCGACGATCTTTCCTTGATCGAACACGTAGATAATGTCGGCTTTCTGGATCGTACTGAGTCGATGTGCCACGGCAATGGTCGTTCGGCCGCGAGCGGCGGCATCCAGCGCTGCCTGCACGACCTTCTCAGATTCCGAATCAAGAGCCGACGTAGCTTCGTCGAGAAGTAGAATTTTGGGGTCTCGGAGCAGAGCACGCGCAATGGCTACTCGCTGTTTCTGCCCTCCAGACAGCATGCCTCCTTTGCTGCCAACCACGGTGTTGAATCCATCTCTGCACGCAAGTGTTGGTTAGTGATATTGGTCCACTCGAGAGAAGGTCAGGAATCGGGAACTTACGGTAGAGACATGATGAAGTCATAAATGTTGGCGTCCTTGCAAGCCTTCACGATAGACTCTTCGGACACTTCATCCCGATCGACTCCCAATAGGATGTTATCCTTGACGGTTCCTTGGTACAGAGTTGGCTCCTGACTGACTAGCGATAGGAAGCTCCGATAGGAGTTGACGTTGATCTCGGTAATATCTTTGCCATCCACGAAGACATTTCCGGCGAGGGCGTCATAAAAGCGCTCCAGGAGAGCAATGGTCGTACTTTTGCCGCAGCCACTCGGCCCGACAAGAGCAATGTACTGCCCGGGCTTGACGCTAAGATTCAACCCGCGGAGAACGGGTTGCTCGGGACGAGTAGGATATCTGAAATGCACGTCACGGAACTCGATTTCACCGTCGACGGAATCCAATTGGATACCCTCCTTAGACCAGATGTCGATACTGGGCTTTCGATCAAATAGTTGCTTGAACTGCGCCGCGGCATTCTTGGCCTTACCCATATCCGGCGAGAAAGAGAAGACCGTTCCGGCCGACTGCGCGCCGAAAAGAATTTCGGAGAAACAGACGAAGAAGCGGAAAACCGAGTATTCGTGGTGACCTAGAAGCGTACCTCCGTACCAGAATCCGAGGGCAACGCAGAAGAAGACGAGAGCCTGCGAGGCGGCATACAAGATGGAAGACTTCAGCACGGAAATCAAGCTGGTTCTTCCCTGCGCATCGAGTTGGGCATGGTAAACGCCCCAGACATCTTGTTCGCGGGTGAGCGAGGCCACAGTGCGAATGGCCGACGTTGCCTCACAAGCATAGCTTGCAGACCCTTCGTAGGCGGTCTTAGAACGCTGCTGGAACTGGGCAAGCATGTAAAACCGATAGAATCCACAGCCCAGCAAGATCGGGACCACGGAGATGCAGACCAAAGCCAGCTTCCATCCAATGGACAAAGAGATAATGATAGCGGCACCCAGGGTCGTGGAGGTCATGATAATTGTTCCCAGCGTTACGCCGCTGACTCCAGAGAGATGCTTCGTCTCGGTCGATAGAAAAGAAGTCAACGCGCCGGTGCTATTCTCTTCTCGATCAAAGAATGTGATGTCTTGACGGAGAATTGACCTAAAAGCCTCACCTCGTGCACGACGGATCAGAGCTTCCGAGCACATGGCAAACGCAGCTCCATTAATGGAGAGGTTGATAAACTGGACGATTCCAACCACAAAGAACATCAGGGACCAAAAGTTGGCATCGCTTCGAATCTGACTGGCCATATTGGAGCCGTATGAGAGCGAACTGATTGCCTTCGCATACAAAACCGCTTGGGTGGGCTGGCCACCACCCGCAAGAAACGAGAAAAAGAAACCGACGAGCATGTAGAGGGTTTCCGGTCGGTTAAAGGAGAAGATAAATTTGACCAAGGTCCAGAGCGAATATTTTTTGCCTATCTCTGGGGTCCGCTTGGACAGGACGGCGCTCGACACTGATTTGTGCGTACCAGAGCGCCCAAAGTCCAGACGAGACTTCTCATCTTCGGCGGCGTAGAGGGATGCTGAGCCACTAGCGGCGGTCTTGATGCGCGCCATATCCGGCTGGGGAATGATATCCTCGTCGAGTTCATCATCGGTTTCCAACGCTTCAGCGTCCTTTGCTTCATTGATGCGCTGGGCCTCCACGAGGCTGTGATACGTGCCTTTGCCAGCAACCAGCTGATCGTGGGTACCCTGTTCAACAATCCTGCCGTCTACCAAAACCACGATATTGTGTGCCGACTTGATCGTCGATAAGCGATGCGCGATCACAATGGTGGTCCGGCCCTCGGCGGCCTTGTCAAGAGCAGCCTGGACAACCCCTTCGGATTTCGTGTCCAGCGCAGAAGTCGCCTCGTCAAGTAAGAGAATCTTAGGGTCACTAACAATGGCGCGAGCAATGGCAATCCGCTGCTTCTGGCCACCAGAAAGCAAGAATCCACGTTGACCAACATTAGTCTCGTACCCTTCGGGCAAGGCCGTGACGAAATCGTGAGCGTTGGCCATATTTGCCGCGTTCTCGATGAGCTCCCGAACTTTGTCTTCCGACTCATGCTCAAATTTGGTGCCGATAAGACCATAGCGGATGTTCTGGTAGATCGTGGTACCGAAGAGGATAGGTTCTTGGCTCACCAGCGAGATTTGCTGACGCAACCAACGAAGATTAAGGTCATTGATATCATGCCCATCCAAGAAGACCGAGCCTCCTACGGGGAAATAGAAGCGCTCGACAAGTCCGACCACGGTACTCTTCCCGGATCCTGAAGGGCCAACCAGCGCCGTTGTCTTTCCTGCAGGCATGGTAAGGGAGACACCGTCCATGATGGTCACCTCCGGTCGCGAGGGGTAGATATGTTTAACATCCCGGAACTCGATATTTCCTTGGAGGTTTTCAATGGTTCCGCCTTCATTCGAGTACGGGTCCAGCGGTGATTGACGATCAATTGTGCCGAAAATCTTAGCCGCTGCAGCCACGGCATTTGTAAAGGCCTGACTGTTAGGACTGACATTTCCCAGACTGAAGGAGCCGATCAAGATAGCCATCAGCACGGTCAGAACTTGACCGACGTCAACCGCTCCGCTGACGAGGAAACGAGATCCCATCCAGAAACCCAAGCCGTAGTTGGAGAACATGATGCCAAACATCGCACCGATCATCACGCCCAAAATGGTCTGTTGCTTCCTTCCCCACTTCTCTGCTTCGGCCAAATGAACCTCATACTGTTTGGCGAGTTTGTCCTGAGTGCCGAACGCCGTGGCGTTTCGAATCGAGCTGATCACCTCCTCCGCCACAGTTCCACCAGCACCATAGCTTAGCAAAGACTGCTTGCTGTACTTGACAATAAACCGTGAGCCACCTCCCATGATCAACACGAGCGCGACGATGGTGGAAGTACAGATCAGGGCCAGCTTCCAGTACTTGACGTAGGCCACGACGAACGCAGTGACGAAGGTCGAGATGGCGGTCAGGGTGAGTCCAACTTTCTCGGAGACACCGTCCTGGATGAGATTCGTGTCGGCAGTGATACGGGTAGTCACTTCACCAGCGCCAAGTTTATCGAAGTACGCCATGTTCTGGCGAAGAATAGACTCGAGATAGTGCTCGCGAATCTTTTGGGTGACGTGCTCGCCGACGTAGATGAACCCGACGGTACTGATATAGACGGTGACGAATTCTCCGATACCAAGATAGACGAAGTATAGGACGTTGGTCGTCAGTTTATCGTAGAACTCGGAATATTCAATGAGGCCTAGGGTGATGTTCCGCATCGCGGAAGCCAAAGAACCAAACAGGATCTAATCGTGGGAAGTCAGCAAAAACGCTTTCAGGGGACACTTGTGAAGAACATACCGTGAACAGCGGCAACGCAGCACCGGCGGCAATGGCGCAGATGGCGCTCACCACCAGAACCAGGATATCCATTCGGGATGCATAGCGGTAGAGACCAAAGAACGACACGCTCGTTTCTTCTACGTCAAGCTGTTTCTTCAAGATCTGCCTTTCATGAGGGGCCAGGTGAGAGTATAGGGGATCCGTGTCGTCGCTGGGGAGTTTTTCGGCGGATGACGATTGGGATCGCGCGGCCTTCGCCGCCTCTGCCGGGGCGATAGTCGCACTCGAGGTTGAAGAGTGATTACTCGATTTGGTTCGTTCGACGGTAGCAGTCGGGACAATATTCCCTGCTTTGTCCGTCGTCGAGACGATAGCAGGATCGTCAGCAGCCTTAAACGGCTCCTTCTCCGGATGGGACATGGCGTTCTCTATGCGAGTACCTCCAAAGTTTCCGAGATATGTACAGGAATCTTGGCGGAAGATCGAACTAGACGATCTACTTACTCCATGGGGGAGAAGTAGTTATCGATAACAGTAAGAATGGGGCGTTGCACCAAAGCCGGTCGAGTCTGGCTACTTGAATACTACCAGCGACGCAAGTATTCAAAGGAGGATTGCAGATATCTAGTTCTGGGGGGAACTAGGTAGACGCAATAGACGGTTATTAATAGTTGTCGCACTCCCAGGAGAATATTCACAAAGAATGAAAGAGAGATGGAGGGAGGAGAAGGGCAGGAGAAGATAAGGAGGGGATGGAGGGGGAAGGAAAAGGATCGAATTACTGGCAGAAGCCGGTACTATTATTATTCAATAATTAAATAAAATAAATAAAAACAAAAATAGGAAAGAAAGAAAAAGTAAGATGTTGGATTTAAACGACGGATACGATATGTTCAATTATTGCCAGGACGGGGACAGAAGAATCCGGCCGGGCCTTAATAATTCTTAACCCCGGAGGAGCGGCCTCCCGACCGCATTTTATGCAGGAGAAGAGAGTGGAGGTACAAAGAACGGGATTCTGTAACCACTGTACGGGGGCCCCTGTCGCCACTCGTTAAGAACCATTTTGTACCGAGTAGCATGTCATACAAGAGTCATCCATTCAAACATCCCAGTCTCATTCCAAGGCCCATGTTGGTGTCGGGAACTCTTCAGGGGAAAAGAAGGGAAGCAAGGGGAGCACGTAGTTAGTCGATCGAACTCCATACGGTATGAGTACGGATTAGTTACGCCGGCTCGGTTGTAAATCATTCATCAAGCAATTCGCTGCATTGGCCCTCCTACGCTTGGATTTCAATAGCTTCCCACCTTTTGGACCGGGGAATTTCCAGAGAATAAAGAAGGCGAAAGGCTGGAGCTAAACATAAGCTTTCTGACTGAACTTCCACCCGGTTCAGGCGTGCAAACACTTGATACGAAGTACATAATACATAGTTACTTCATCTTCCCGGCGGATCTGGCCGACGAGGTCACGGCCATACCGTCCGGTATTCGTATAATTTTAGTATAAAGTCGGGGTCGGGGGTTCCATCCTCCGACAGTCTAGAAGTGGGTGATGTCTCCACCAATGATTCCATCCAGAACTCACCGATGCGATACGCGAGCTGCCTTTCAATTCGATTGGCGCATCGCCTATCTACACCGTTGGTAATTTGGTTTGGCACTGACACTATCTGGTAGCTGCGGTGCCTGAGTAGCAGGGTACCGACTAATGACTCCATACTCCGTAGTTACTTGTCGAGCTTTCTTTCTTTCTTTCTTTTTTGGCGAGCCCACCAATCCCACTGAAGGAATAGAGAAAACATCATTGGTCGAAACACATACAACGTCAGAATGAATCCTGGCTCGTACCAAATCGTATCCTAGAAGGAAGATATTTCGGGTCCACGTGGTTCCAAATTCGTAGGCAGCAGTGAGTGCGCAACCGATGGATCTTCATTGCGCTTCTCCCGGTGTTGTTTGAAGTTTGGGGCCTTGAAAGGACGTATCTAAACCGCAAAGTTTCCGCGGGCACCGAAAGAAGGATAGTAGTGGCTAGTCATTATTGACTCATGTGTCAATTTTCGGGGACCAGACTAAGCCAAAGACTCGCATCAAGTCATCCTCGACTTCTCGGCCCCATGAGACGTGTATGTCTTGTCTCGTCTCCTGCAGATCTCCCCGAGAAAAGCCTCGTGTCCATGTGCCATACGCACACTCTCGTACGAGGAAATTCGCGGAAATTTGCTGCAGGCAGTCATGAGGACGGTGATCATGTTTCGAAAAGCCCACCTTACATTATTTGACTCATTCTCCTTGCACGAGATGATGGAGATGATAACATTGACCTCTGGCGGTAACCGTATTGTAAATATTCATTGGATGCACACGATGAAATATGGAATCGATGATGAAATACTATCCCGCATGTCAAGATTGAATCGAGGAAGATGGTGCGGGTGCGATGGTGTCCGATAACGACGATAACGAAGGTGGTCGAATGCCTGACGGGAGTTTCTGCCTCAGGCATAAGTCACATGACCCTTCCGAAGCGAACCGCTAAGCCCTGTCCGCACAAAAAAACCACCACTACCGAAGGCCTTTGAAGACGGTCGACAACCTCACTATCGCCAGTCCACATACTCAGCTCGCCGTCGCGACAAGCCTTCAAGATGCCGGTTAGCAACCCCGTCCCCCCTTTCGATCATGCTCTCGATGCCGGGATCAATTTTTATTTTTCGTCTCTCTTTCTATTCGGCATGGTTGAAATAGAACCATGCGCGGGGACGCATTGAAGCAGCAGTAGGCTAACATCTTATGTTTTTACTCCCATCAGAGCCACAAGAGTTTCCGCACCAAGCAGAAGCTTGCCAAAGCCCAGAAGCAGAACCGTCCCATCCCCCAGTGGATTCGTCTGAGGACCGGTAACACCATCAGGTAAATACATCATTTTTTTCCTGAAACCCATCGGTCGGTCGGAGCCGCAGAGCACCTGGTTTGGAAAATGGAAATATCAGAACGATAAACGCCTCGACGTTTCAGCCCGTTGGATAAGTTGGTTCGACTCGACAAGACAGAAAGCAAGAGGGAAAGGGAGAGGACTTGAAGGCTCCGACCTCGAAGGCAGTTACAATCGGCAAATGGGATGGAAATGGCTGACGAGTGTTTTTCTATCCAGATACAACGCCAAGCGGAGGCACTGGCGCAAGACCCGTCTCGGTATCTAAATTCGAGGACATTTACCATGCTTTTTCTTTTGTCCGACCGAGATGTTCCTCCCGATTGTTTCGTTCAATTGTGATACCGCAAATCTTGCTCGCGACGATTAATCTGCATCCGGAATCCGACCCACTTTGACTTTTTCTCGATTTCCCCCAATTTGATCTGTTCGACGGCAATGATAAGGTTATTCGTCTTGGAAGCTTGATCTGGCTCTGGGCAAAGGACGGTCGTTCAAGGCGAAGGATGAGCAGTGACAGAAAAACCTCAGGCGGTGTCCGGACTCTGGATAGGTCGTACTGCAAATTATTTACACGAGCTGAGACAATTTAAAAAAATTTCATGATGGATAATGAGCTGTGGGCAATGATGAATCGACCGGAATATGATCGTATATGCTTCCTCAACCTTCTATTCCTAGCTTGGGCTGTCTCCCGCTTGATCATAATGTATTGATCTAAAATGAGAGTCGAAGGGGATGTTTTGGGCAGTAGCTAGTAGACTTCTAGCCGTAGTCATATTTTGAGCCTTTCATCTCTTCAGGCGGGGGAATACATTACGAGGGGGGGGGGGGGGGGGGGGTGTAATTCCGACTAGTCTTGTGACTTATAGAGCATCTAGGTCGGTCAGTAACCTTGCGGGTCTACGAGAACTTCTACCACAAGTACAGAAAAGACAAAAAAGAGAAGAGAAGACATCTTCAAAAACAAGCCGTAAATGGTGTTGCAAATCGAAAAAAGCCAATGAAAGAAATTTTGAGCAATATGGGCCTCACGGCCATCCGTTAAAAAGCAAAACAAAGGAAATACATATTTCTTTAGACTACAAGCCAAGAGGAAACAATCATAAGGAAAACGAACATGAACGAGAAACCGCTCGAAGAAAACCCAACGCCGAAATGAGAATCTTTATTCAGAAATCCCAATTTGAACCGTAAACAAGGCTGGTGACCCAGTGGAAAGGTACTCAAGAGGCAATCCATCTATGATCAACAAGCCATGGGTGACATTGACCAGTGATGTGAAATCAGCGGTCCTCGGCCCACTCGTTCTCGCGACGGATCTGATCCTCTTCCTCCGGAGTGAAATCATTCTGGATGTTGAAGGTCTTGCGGATCTCTTCGGGGGACTTGCCCTTGATCATGTTGGCGACGGTCTTGCAACCAACATCCAAGAGGCCCTTGATGTCAAGGTAGTTGGCGGCCTATAAGATAATAAGGTTAGCTTCGGTACTTAAATTGAGTCATAGGAATTGTACATACCAGGATGATTTCGAACAGCATCTCTTGGTCGACCTGCATGAATTTTTGGTCCCATTCATCGATGTCGGTGGTCTTGCGGCGAGAGTCGTCGTCGTCGCCAGTGCTGGGGGGATCGTTCTTGTGGTGCTGGCACCATTCGATGACCTTCTTGAGGACAGCTTCGTTGACCTATAGTAATTAAATAGAATGTTAGATAAGTCGGGTTCAATCGATGCGGATTCTTCCGATATTTGCACTTACGTTAGGGATCGGGATAGCTTCTCCGGTTTCACCCAAATCTTCGAGCATGTTCTTAATGAGCAGAGAGCGCTCGGCAACATCGCGTTCTGTTAACAAGTAGAATGTATTAGCTCGCGGTCTGGCCACGAATACCAAGTAAAGGGAAGGAACTGCGCCGGATAGAGGCGTGGGGGATGTACATACCGACGGTGATCTCGACGCCGTCCGAGCTAGTCATAGTAAGAGAGCCAGACATCTTGAAAGAATTATCTGGAGATATTGGTTCAGTCTCAAAAGTTGTAAGGTGTAGGCTACAGTGCAGATTTGTAGACGAAGGCGTCGTTGAGTCGTTGAGGGGTAACCGAGGTGGGGATTGAACCTACTGGACTGAAGAGACGGGAAGGTGAGTCAATGAGTATGAGATGGAAGACGAGAAAATATCGAGGCGAACGGCGGCCTATTTATGTTGCGGTGACGGGGTCAGTAAGTTGGATGGAGGGCGGCAAGACAATGAGACGAGACGTAGGCAGAGAAGGAAGAAAGAAGGCGGAAGTGATGAGGCTTAGTTTGGGTGTCTGGTTGGTTTGATGTTAGCGCCGACGAAAGCGAGAGAAAGAGAAGTCGAGGGGGTCTTCCACTATCATTTCCGTCACCGCCTTCGCCATTAGGAAGACGCCGTTTGTCACGGGCGCTGACCTAGACCATCCCCGTGATTAGTGATGGCTGCCTGGAGTCTGCCTGAATCTGTGACGACCAACAAACAAGACAGAGGGAGGACCCTTTTCCCTCTTCCCATTTACATACTTCCTCCATGCACGCAACGGAGCACCCCCCTACCTACACGGTAAGTATCCATTGCCTCATCCACATTACTGGATTCATCCATATGCTGTTCATAGTACTACGGAGGACTACTAACACCTACTGCACAGTCCCCATCTATCTAGCCTTGTTTTGATTTTCGGACCTTGACCCACCTGGCTAGCAAAAATAATGAACGGGGTCAAGGGGATCGAACAACGAACCAATAACTAACCCAATCCCATCGAGGCCTACGGACTACTACGGAGTCTACGGAGTCTACGGAGTAGGGTTGTCTGTCCTGATGTCAAGTTGCCCCCCTCCGACGCGTCTCGTTCGTCCAGTGAAAATCCGCCCTCTCTGCACTTTGCAGCATATTTAATTACTACGGAGTATTCATTTCATCTGTTCTTTCTCCCCCCCCTCCCCCTTGGACTTCTGTTCGCTTCTATCTCTCCAATCCATGGGAGTTTACTCCGTAAAGGAAACCAATTACCAATTCTTCCTCCTCAATCATTCTACTATGCGCCAACAACAGCATGTACTACGATGTACCTAAACTCATCCTCGTTCTCTCTTTGCATCCATCCGAATGATAAGAAGCGTCTTGTTTAGAATCACTAATCCTCAACCCTCTTAATTCATAATTCCTAATCCCGATCCTGATCCTGATCGTGATCTGGATCGTTCGCATAATTCTCCGCCATGTGGAGACGAACGTATTTGCTGCTCCTGGTGATCCGTGTTTACTTTGCGCTGTCCCCGAGTTATCTTCATCCCGATGAGAATTTCCAGGGTCCTGAGGTGGTCGCAGGTAAGCCGGCCCATGCCCATCCCTTCCCCTGCCATCCTTCCGACCCCATCCGCCTTCGCGCGACCGTGATGCTCCTTCCGTCTCGGCGTGTTTGCGCCGTCGACGGCGCGCGGGATTCCGGCCTGTGCTCGTTGCAGCTGCATACGATTTTGTCCTGCCAAACAACTTGCATTGACTCGCTGGTGTTTAAGGCCGTATCCTCTCCTACCCCGCCAAGCTGCCTTGGGAATTCACCGTCGAGAAACCCATTCGCAGCGCCTTCCCGCTATGGCCGACCTATGACGTTCCGATCAGCCTACTGAAATGGTTCTACACCGAAACCGGGACCGAAAACCCCCCGCCAGAACTAGTTTACTACGTTCTGCGAGGGGTCATGTTCCTTCTAAGTTTTGTCTTGGAGGACTGGGCCATTTACGAGCTGGTGCCCTTCCCGCGCCATCGCCGCGCGACGGTAGTGCTGGTCGCATCGTCGTATGTCACCTGGACATATCAGACGCACACCTTCTCCAACTCCCTAGAGACGCTCCTGGTAGCCTGGGGCCTGGTCCTCATTCGTCGCATTACTGAGAATAAGGTTCGGAGAAACATAGTTGAATCAAGTGTGGGAGAAGATCGTGCGGGCTAATGGTGGTTTATAGCGTCGCTCATCTATCTTCTCCTGTGCCGTCCTGTCCTTCATCGCCGTCGCGGGCGTCTTCAACCGCATCACCTTCCCTGCCTTTCTCACTATCCCGGGACTGCAATTACTGCCTCATTTCTGGCGCAAGTAGGTGTTGATCCGATCCAACCTGTCAGTGCTCGGTGAGCCAGATCGCTAACCTTCAGGATCGTCTCAGACCGGCCTCCTTGGTCTCCTTCATTGGATTTGGACTATTGTTCTTCGGCACCGCCGTCTGTGTGGATACCACATTCTACAGACCATCTGCGTCCTTTGGAGACATCCTGCGCGCGCCTATAATTACCCCCATCAACAATCTCCTTTATAACTCTGATAGCTCCAACTTGGCTCTGCATGGACTTCACCCTCATTACCAACACTTCCTAGCCAACCTACCCCAGCTCCTTGGTCCGGCGTATGTGATGATGGTCCTTTCTTTTTGGAGCCTCCCCACCATTCCGTCTTGGTTGAAGGATATACGCGCCGTTTCTGCGCTATCGGCAACTATGCTATTGTCTATCTTCCCTCACCAAGAACCCCGCTTCTTGATTCCGTGCGTCCCTCTCCTACTCAGCTGTTTCCGTCTTCGCAAGTCCCGCTTGTTTCTGGCGGCCTGGGTGGTTTTCAATGTCTCCCTCGGATTCCTGATGGGGGTCTACCACCAAGGCGGCATCGTACCCACTCAGATTGCCATCCCTTCGATTGTCTCGGCGAATGCAGCCATGCCAAACAGCGGCCCCTCGGAGCCTCTTCGGGTCTCCGCGGCCGTGTACTGGTGGAAAACCTACTCGCCACCACTGTGGTTGTTGGGCGACAACACCGACCCGTCTGTGGACCTGGAATCTCGCGACTTGATGGGCATGTCCGGACCGGAAATGATCCAAAACCTCGAACGATCGCTGCCATCCTGTCCATCGGGTGACGATGGCACCCAGAAGTCGGGTGCGGGCCCTGACTCGGTTTTTATGGTAGCCCCCAAATCTGCCACCTTTCTTGACGCATACGACGTTTCTTTGAAGGCTTCATCCGATCACACAGATCTAGAACTCCATGAATTATGGACGTATAGTAAGCACATCAACCTGGACGACCTAGACTTCGGCAGCGACGGGATCCTTCCGACATTGCAACGAGTGATTGGTAGACGCGGGCTAGCCGTCTGGGCCGTTCGAAGAGCTTGCAATCGAGAATCCTCCGTCAGCTGAGAATCTATTTGATGTCAGCTGTTTTGAGACAAAATTAAGCTTGATTGAAAGCTGATCACCTCTTGCTTTTCCCCCGCTCTCATTCCGTTCTTCGTCTTTTTCCATTTTTCTTGGTCTTTGCATTGATCTTTATTCAGTGACAGCAATACCCACGGCCGTCATATCATGCTATATATTGGATTTATTCTTTTTTTTTCTCCCCTTCTTCCCAGCTCTGGCAAACTATTCTTTTGAGAAAGCACTACGCCAACCCCCCCTTAGTATAGATGTGCATGTATATCACGGTACTGATGATTATAATTGAAGTATACCCCACCTATTAATCATTCATACAAGCTGTTACATTCCTCAATGATAGAAATTAATAATAGGTAAATGTAATTCTACACACATTCCACACTTACCAGATACTGAAGGGAAGAAATGAGGGGACGTAAGTGTGACTTGACGGGGGGCGGACTGGGGGTCATCTGATGCGTGCAGACTAACGGGTCCTCTGACCACAGGACCGCAGGCATAGCTAGGTATTTCTCATAGTGGTATGCGGCAACTTGTGATGGAAGTGGAAAGCGCACCATAGAGTACGAGTTAGTGTCTTTCCACTTGTTTATCCTTCACGATACTACTTGTCTACAATAGACGCCCGTAGACTAGGCGTTTGGACCATTCAGAATATCTCATTTCACTTTGCTCCATTAACTAGGTGCAGACAGTAACGTCACATCTGAAGGAAAAAAAGAATAGAAGGGGAAGAGGAAAGGAAGAAGGAAAAGTCATACGTGATAGATACACCGGGCCGCAAATGTTCTTGATCGCGACAACAAGGTGACGGCCAGCTCGCTCGCAATGTTTAGACGCTCGATCATACCTGATCGGGTAAAGAAAGTCGAGGTCTTGCCGGAGAAAATCAGGAAGAGTAGTGTATTGCAAAAATCGTTAAGAGAGAAGAATTAAAAAACAAAAGAAAATCGCCACTCCGTATGCCTAAGCCTCCTGCGGCCGAGTCCTAGGAACGGTATCATAGGTCGTCGGGGTCGTCGGGGTTCTCGAACAAGTAGTTCGCGGCCAACTCTTCGTTCTTGTCGCAAGCAAAGTATGCCTGGATAACCAGATCCCGCGAGAAACCGAGACGGCAGAGCTAGCACTAGGTGAGTTTCAAGATATTTCCAGAGCGTGAGGTGGGGAGAGCGGGGATACATACACGTTCAATAGCATCTCTTTCTTCCTCCGTCACGTGGATCTGATGCGTGCCGGGAGGCAGCGCGGCATCGTCGTCCTCGCCAAGAAGCTGAAGAAATTGCTCCTCGTTCTGTCCAATAAGTTGCGCGATTTGAGGGTTGCCAGCGGCAACTTGCTGGAGGATGGGCTCGAGCATCGCCGGCTGCTGTTGGACCAGTTGTCGCAGCTGCTGGAAGTGTGGGTTGTTCCGGAGGAAATCAAGGTTGGGGAGTTCACCACCAGCTGCTGGAGCACCTCCGCTGCGAGCTCCACGTCCGCCCTCTTGGCCACCGGCCTGAGCAGCGGCTTCAAAGAGGTTGACTGGCTCTTCAGCCCCGGCGGGGAGAGGGGGGGCGTCTTCTCCAGTAGCAGGTGCCTCCTGCGTGTCGGCAATGTCGGCAGCGGCAGCCTGTTGCTGCTGCTGTTGCTGCTGTTGCTCCTGCTGGATACTCTCTGGAATTCCCTGCACAAGTAAAAAAAAGCATTAAACCCAGTTATTTACAAAAATTTTGGGGCATGGGTTTTCGACTCACGTTCAAAAGATATTCAATAGCACGGTCAGGGTTGAAGAACGCCGCTCTCATCGCACGGTTGATGTCAGACCTCGGGAAACCCATGCTCTCCATCTGAGCGATAACTGGCTCACTCTGGGAACCACTTAACAGTGCGGAGGGGTCACTGAACGACGATTGCGACCGGGTGGTAGTGGCGGCAGCCGGAGACGGAGTCGCGGGGGCAGGCGGGGCAGAAGTGTTCGCAGGGGGAGCCCGAGGGGGAGGAGGTGCAGCTGGCGTCGAGGCAGCGGCTCTTGAGGGTGTGGACGGAACTTGCGAAGGAGTGACCGTGGAGGACGAACCCTTGGGCTGAGCAAAGCAGTGAGATCAGTTTGAGGAGCTTCAGTATGGACATGAATTGATGATGCTTACCTTAGAAACCATACACACTATGAAGCCCTTCTCCTCGATGTTATACGTTTCGATGGTTCGGTCATCTTGCAGGATTTTTCCTATAGAAGTTGGACGGCGTCAGCGAGGGGATGGACGCGGAGAGGACCTTGGCACAAGCGCCGTGCGGTCCATCAATCTGAATTAACCGAGATGGGAAATGAGAAGAGTTTTCAACGTACCGGAGTAAATAAGCTTCAGTTGAGGAACTTCCCAACTCTTCTCCTGAGAAATCTTCTCCTTCACTTGCCCGACCTATCATGTCGCTCAGCCCCGCACTGAACGAATCTTGACGAAAGAGGGACAGCGGACTTACCGTCTCCGATGGCTCTGCATCGATAACAAACTTCTGTTGCTTCAGATCCTAGAGAAGGGAGGTAGACATAAGTCAGATGTCGAAATCGTGATGAGGATGGGGGTGGGTGAAGGAGGGTTGGCTGCAGCATACTTTGAACGTGAGCTTCATCTTGCGCCACCGAAAGACCAGAGATGGCTTTGAAAGGCGAGGGGGAAACAAAGAGGCCTAAAGGTGGAAGGGATGATGATAGAATGGACTTGATGGAATCGGCGGAATGGCAATGGATCGAGGAAACAGAGGATCGCGGGGTGGAGGATGGATCAGATCGACTGCGAAAGAACTGGCAAGTGGGAGAGAAACAACCTACGATGACGAGGAGGAGAAAGCTGGAGGCGGTGACGCCGGGCCCCCAGCCACACTCTGCGCTACCGCCACAGTCACGCCCCCTCGCTAGGGAACGCCACCCGTAGTAGTAACTATAGGCAAGTGAATAACTAGTCCGAGATGTTTGGGTTCCTTGGTCGGTTCCTGGATCACTTTTCTCCCTCAATCTGCACCATCCGCTCTGCAGGAGGGGATTGCATCTTCAGCTGGGACCTGGCAGCCCTATGACATCGACCTGCCTCTGGGAATATGTATGGAGGGGCTGAAGAAGGATGGAACAACTATACGATACCTTGGAGCTTCATGGATCTACATTCTACAGACATATCATGATTCAGATGAGCTGAAGATGCTACGTACTCGATTGTGTATCTGTCCCATCTGGTCTTGCACCCTCAGGCGACGCGTGCCATGGCAAATCATGGGCAATCCATTTCATTGCCTCGAGCGAAAGCGATCGATACGTTCATCCCAGCTGATGGATTGGGCCATATTAATGTGGCACTGGTTCCGTGTCCATCCCCATTCGAATCCCGTATTTCTGTTTTCTTTCCTTTCCGACATCCTTTCTTCTTCTCAATTACCATTGTTGTCGACTCTTCAGCGTGGCAAGGGCCAAAGCCCATCCGGATGGATGTATCTCATCGATCTATCACACCGGCTCCTCACAGTGGGGTTGTCGAAAAAACACCAAGCTGGCTCCAACAATCATCCTCCAACACATTACTCACGCTAATGGTGAACTACTGCGTCGGGACGGGTAGTTAATTCCAGTCTTCTTTTCGATTCACCCATGATCTCTCTCACTGGGCTCATCGATAGTTAGCTGCTTCGATGTCGTTACTCACTTTCAGCCTGGAGCGATGTTATCACATCGCACCTCGGGGCCGTACGACATATCACATTTCAAGAATCGGAGGCTTTCTCTCAGTTAGCATTATCCGTATCCAATCCTGGAATCATCACGGATGATCGATTGTTTAGGGCCATTCCGGGATACTGGTGATCGTCCCGGCCGCCTCGCACAGGAAGCCACCCAGTCTTGACAAATTGTTTTCTGGACGTGTTCCATGCACACCTAATTTTGTCTCGAGATTAGTTGTCGAACCTTCGATCATCTGCTGTCTGAATGGACCTTTTTCACCTAGGACTGAGGCAATAATCGTCTTGCACACGGCTTCTCAGACATGTGGACTGGGCTGCGTGGGCGATGAAAGCACGCATGGGTAATGCTGGATTCGATTTCCAGCGAGCGAAAAGGGTCGGCCCGTACTTGATATTCTTGTGAGTACTGGTGAACACCCCCCTATGCATGTAACTCGATATGGAACATGGAGTGGAATCAAGGGGCTTTTCCATGGGCGTACATATGTTGTACTGTACGGAGTGCGTATGTACATGGCCATGTATGTAAGTATATACATGGCGTTAGGTCGAAATGTCGGGTCCATCTATCGGTCTTTTTTTTTATTGATGGTTTTTTTTTTTTTTTGTTGCTACCTACCATACCCTTTCTAGATCCCCTGATGGAGGACACTGACAGCCCCATATCAATAACGCCCCCCCTGTCCTCCCCAATGCTAATCCTGGTCTCGTTCGAGCAGCACAAACCAAATACTTTCGGGGAACCCATTCCCCCCGTCACTCTCTTTTTAGTCTGATAGATATACTTTCGGTCCTTCCAGCCTGCTGGGTTAGTTACAGGATTCTACCTAGTCGGATATTTACCCCAGTCGTCCCCTCGTCCATCCTTAGGCTCTGTTGGCCGCACTCTAGGTATTACTTTCTCGCTCGAGGCATTTATTTCGTATCAGCTGCTGGTTCTGACGACGAGATTCACCTGATATTTGCCCTATAATGATCCTGATGTGACTATGACGAAGACTTTCCTTGACTACTGATGATATCTCAACCTTCTACCCTCATATGTCGCTCAGAGTAATCAAAATCACCACTACCAGTCACTACTAATCGACACGGCAATCTTCTTACGAACCTCGCAGTCATCCTTGGGCTTCTTTGTCAGTCCGAAGCGCACTATACCATCCTTGGCCATCAGGGACATACTCTGCCTCTTCCGAGCCCACCATCTCCATGAGTTTCTTTAGGTTTAAGGCCTCTCTGGCCTACGTTCTGGGAACGATCGGTCTGGCGTCAACTTTCACAGTTATGATACTCGATGGAATATGCTATGCCTTCGCCAAATCTCTCCCTTCTCACATATCCTCCATCGAGTCCGCCATCGTCAGCCTCAGTGTGGTTAGCTGCCTTGCACTTTTCGCGTTGGTTGTGATCTGGGTGTCCGACATTGAGAACGGGCTCCGCAGGCAGTGGAAAGGCTGGAGAGCGATCACCTATGGCATTGCCATTGTCTACTTCTCTCTGGCCACGGGGATTACTGCTGGGGCGATGGCGTGGAGTGCTGTCCAATCCATCACGGAGGCTGAAAAGTCACACCTTACCTCGAAGCAGCGAACCCTGATGGTCGCTCGCTGTGTGATATGGGCCATTTCCGTCTTAAGTCAGGGGCTACTTGGGGGGTACCTCCTGATGTCGATGTCGAGACGAAGACACCGTACCGAATGGCCTAGCTCGTTCTCGCAGGAGCTCGAAATCCTCCCAGATAACACCAGCGTCAGGCCCAGCAGCCCGTCCAAGACACCATCGCTAATCATCACAGAATCTCAGCGCGAGGAGGAGCGTAAGACCAGCCGGGAGCTCCAAGCCTCTGCTCAGCCATCCGCCTCGAGTTCAACATCATTGATATCCAATCGATACTCCGGCAGAACCCTGACCCAGATCGAATCGAAGCGCAGTTCTTTCGACCTAAACCCGCTGTATTTGTCCCAACCCGAGGGGGCGTTGATCCGCACCAAGATCAGCGGAGGCCCAGAAGAGTCTTCGCAAAAGCTTGTACGCAGGCACTCCGAGGTCAAACGGTCTTTAGACAGCCTCATCCTGCGGACCGCATCTGGCCGGTCGTCGCCAGCCAGCAACTTGCTCCAGCCGGAAGTGTCCCGGGGATCAGCCGCTCCAACGTTGACGTTAGGGGACGAAAGTCATATTCATCCGTTGTTTCGTGTGGCCAGTCCATCGCCAGCCCCGACGCCAACCCCGGGCACCGTCGTCGTTGCATCACCCGCCGCAGGGCAGATTATTTCAGTCAAATCTCTCAATCGCGTGCGATCCACGAACTCGCTCCGGTCTCATAGCATCCGCAGTCGATCTCCCATGAATGAACGAACGAACCCGCTCAAAGACGCGTCGGAACAAAAGCCAGTGCCCACCGGAGACAAGAAACTGTCTTCTAATCTGGAGCCCGTCATTCCTGGTTTTATTATGGCCGCCGACGTCCGGAGAAGCCTCACCCGGTACGAGAAAAGGTACGATTTGCATGAATCCCCTCTCGAGAGTTAGAGTTAGGGTCTGGAGGGGGAGAGTGGAGTGGAATAGAGTGAATGCAAACATGCTATACCTTTTTTCCCTTGTCTTTTTTTTTCTCTTTGTGCCGTTTCCCCTTTGTTCCTAGATATCCTGGATGTGCAGCGCGGGCGGTGTTCTATCTGTTTATCTTTAACCTTTTTGTCTTACCATAGCCTGTCCTTTAGCCAGTCGTCGATTATAGAAATTAGTCAATCAGATGAATTAATAGACCAACAGATGACCAAAATATCTTCTTTTCTTTTTCTTTTCTTTTTTTTTTTTTTTTTTTTAAAGAAAAATTCTCCTTACGCAGAGGAGATGAGGGAGGGACGGATGAGGGGGGCTTGAACCCGATGTCTCGACAACCTGCAGACTCGTGCGACATCGACTGGGCAGCGTGTACAACATTCTCGTGCCACCTCTACTCCAGGAGATGACACGCTGAGAATCTTTCTAATTCGACCGAACCCAGCATCCCGGGGAAGAGGCTGGAATCTCGTGATAATCTCGATGCGAGGCGGCTTGAGGGCGGGCGACCGGGAGCGTTTGGATGTCTCCATTTTCTACCTACGGGCTGGAAGTGACGGTGAGATGCCTAAATGGCGGTCGGGAGTAGGGCGTCCGACTGGCGGTATGAGGTTTAACAGAGGAAGAGATGTTTCTTGTCTGGCATCTTTCGTAGGAAATGTCCTGGCATCCATTGATATATATGAGGGCAGATCCACTTGGGCTGCGACATGGTCCTACATAACGTGGTCTAATCGAGGGTCGACTGGGTTCGTGTCAGTACGACGGTTCTCATTTGCATGATTCTGTCTCAAACGATGAATAAGGAGGCGAGAGGAAGGCAACTAATTCATCGATCAACCCAGAGTGTCGGAGTATACGGAGTACTTATACGGTACGGGTGGGTAATACGGGGGACCCGACGACCGTGTGGACTAAAACTGGAACATGGAAGGAGATCGCATGAGTTAATCAGGGGCGAGAAGAGTTGAATCAATCATCAATCAACACATTCAATGTCGAGAACCTTCGTAGGGGAGGCGTGGTCAGTGGTAGAGTGCTAGTAGGAGAGTGCTCGGAGAAGGTAATACCAGCGAAATCGTGGGCGAGAAGGGAAAACTCACCTTTTTCCCTTGCGTCTTCTTTCCTCTTCTTCCTCTTCTCTTTCTCTCTTCCTCTCTGTCTCTCTGTCTCTTCTATCTCTGCCTCTGCCTTTTTGTGTTCTTCCTCTCCCGTCTTTCCCCAAATACAATTGGAATTAATTGATTTTCATGATCGGAATTCCTTCCCCGGACGCTTCGTAAAATCCTGCATTCTGGTGCCAAACCCCCGAACTAAATCCGCCCTTTTCTTTCTTACTTCTTTCTCCGTCTCTTCCTTCCTCCGCCTCTCGCATCCTCTCATCTACTGTTTCTCCCCTTTCTATTCTCCCCCCAGCTGTAGGACTCGCAGTGTTCCATTGACGGTGCCGTGATTCCTATCAGGTCCGTCAGGTCTTAAATCGCTGGGATCATCCTTTTCCTTTTCTTTCCTTACAACGTTCTCCCCCTATCGGAACAACGTTCCATCTGCTTCTGCAGGAAGATCTATCAACTACGAGTCGGATCTTCGTGACATTCTTTTTTCCTTGAAGAATTTGGACGAGTCGAGAGAACTGGAGCCCGAGAGTGAGTGAAAGCAATTAGGCCATCGTGTTGCGACTACTTCATCCGGCGACTAAAATCTACATGCGGATCCACTTGACCGAACCGCGTTCTGACTTCCTCCACTACTTTAGTCTTTACTCTCTACTCTCTACTTCGCTCATCTCTTCCTCCCTTCTCGCCTTGCGCTTTTCTCTCGTTGCTTGTTCTTCCCGTGCATGCTCTGTCGCATCTTCTTCGGTATGTAAATCGATCTGCCTTCTCGCTCGGTCCTCTCGGCCTTTTTCATTTTCTCTTGTTTTCATCCTTTCCCTTTCTTTCTTTCTTTTTTTTTCTTTTTTTTTTTTCGCCCCCTTCTATTCCCTGCCCCAACACGTTCTCTCTGCCGCATTTCTCCATATTGTCATATTTCCATATCTTCATATCTCCATATCTGAACGTCCATCTATCTTCACAACTACTACGATTCACCTGACCTTTCTGTCTTCCTGTCACCGCCGACTTTATTTCCTTTCCTCTAATGCCCCTTCACTTCCCCCTTCCTATTGTCTTGTGTTCCTGCTCCTCATTCCACAGCAACTGCTTCTCTCTCTCTATCTCTCTTACTTCGCATTGTATTATTCATGACTCCGATCTGCCAGCCTAATCCCTTTCACTTGCTTTCTTCTATCTAACCCTTACCATTTCCCTCTCCCGACTTAATATATTAGCATATCTCGGGTCATCGCCTTATTGCCTCAGCGTCGTTTTGTAACACCCTTTTAAAGTTCTTGAGTTCCTTTCATCTTCTTCCTCATCTATTTGACCTTGCGTCTCTTCCTTTCTTGTCTTCCTGCCACTCCGTCTATCCACGTTCACTGCGCATCCATTCTTTCCCGGGACTTTTCTCTACTTCTTACCCCGGGGTGTGCTTCTACATTGTCTTTGGTACTAACACGCAGTCGCAGAAGATCGCGATGGGCGGGGTCAAGCGTAAAATCGAGGCCACCAAAGGGTCAACTACAACCCCGGCTGGCGGCCCTCCAGCCACCCCTCTGAGCACCAATCGTAAGTTGGCCGGGCGTCTACTGCCATTTGTGAAAATCTTCTCACCACGAGCATAGAATCGGCCGTTGGTGATACTTCGCACATTCGCGTGACGCGAAGTCTGCGTGCAAGTCAGGACGCACGTGCCCACCAAACTGATAGTAACAAAAGCAACACTCACACCCCTACTACCACCAACAAGAGTGGACCTAATCGCCCATCCCGAATCATCACGCTTAAGACTCGCCGCTCGTCCGGGTCAGGCATCGCTGCCAACAATGCAGCAAGCTGTGCCGCAAACCATGTAGCAAGCACTTCCGCGAGTACGACTCGTGAGACCCGTGCTTCTCGAACGCGGGCCGCCGTCCCTGCTGTACCTGCTGCCCCGACTCAGCCGGATGGCACGGCCTCGTCAACTGTCCCCGAAACTCCTCGGGCCAAACGGGTCAAACGAGGCCCGACGGTCGAAGAAACTCCCCGGACGACGAGGCAGTCGGCTCGATTGCGACCGCAGCCCCAGCCGGCCGCAAGTGAGAATGTCTCTCATGCAGATATTGCGGTTAGGCGACCCGAGGAGGCAAGTCCTTCCGTAGGCGTTGCCTCCGGAACCCGAACTCGCAAACGGAGTCGACAAATCTTGGACGGGGCTAAATTCACCGATCCGGCGGAAATGCTGCCCAAAGCACCTTCTCCAGATGCCGCTGTCCCTGAAAGTGTCGAGGAGTCTAAGCCGTTAAATAGCGAAGCTTCGCGGAATCTTAGGATTACATTCACCCAGTCCGCAGATCGGACCCGCGAGGTTGCCGGCTCCCAGGAAAAGAAGAGCGATTTCGGTGGATCTATGGCTGACGAGGCCGTGAGCCCTACTACGAAAACGAACAGCAGTCCGTTGGCAACTCGAAAGCGTAGACCTTCGGAGGCCGACGATCACGAGACTGCAGACCCTACTGCCAGTCCCGTTGCTTCCCCCAGCAAGAAGCCTAAAATGGAAGAGGAAGAGGAGGGCGTGGAGGGGGAGGAGCCTGCTTCGGAACATCAGTTGCCAAACGGCCCTACAGACAAACCCGAGTCGCAAACGCCGGAGGACGCTGCGACTGAACCTAAAACCGACAGCGAATCTCGGCAGATTACGGAGGAGGTTGAGGGATCGACTCCCGAACTTGCCACGGGGCCTACCAGCGGCAAGGCGCTGCGGGGTGGCCGTGTGAGGGGGCGAGGGCGCGGCGGGCGTAGCAGAGCAGCAGCACGCTTTGCAGCAAGCCGGCGTGGGCGTGGCGGTACTCGAAGTGCTCGCGGAGGCCGCACGGGTCGCCAGCTCGATCGCTCGAGTGATGTCGAACTCGAACGTTCCCCTTCCCCAAGTGCAGCCACTCAAAAACTCCGGGATCGGCAGCGCGAACTTGACAAGGCATTCAAGAAAGTGGCAGCCGCCCATCGGTTAGCGTTGGCCGTGCTGGCAGATCAGTCGGAGAAAAAGCTCACTCGAGACAAGAATGCACATAAGAATGTCCCCGAGTACGACGAGATCAACGATCTCTTGCAAGAGAGGCTTCGAGAAAGAAAGGAGCTGTTTCGCCGAGAGTATGAGCTCAAAGTGGAGCAAGAGAATCGGATATTTGCTGCCAACAAGGAAGCTATCGAAGAGAGGTTCAGAGTAAGTGGTTGCGTTCCGCTTCCTAATCGTCAGGAGAGGTTTGCTGACAGTCATCGGTTGCAGGCATCGGCGCGCTATATTCAGACAGAGCATTTCTACGCCAGCCAAGGAGACTATATGGCTTTTGTGGAGGGCCGCCGGGCGGCGGAGGATGACGAGCACACCGAGGTAAGCCCTGCCATTTCTTATAGATCCCACATCACTGAGAGCTATCAACTGATGCACGAACGCGTAGACGGACGGTTCCGAGGCCGAACCGGAGCGGGGGCCCATCGTCCCTCCCGCAAAGGAGTTCATTCGAGGCTTCAATTCTTCCTCCGTCCGAAACACGACAGGAGCTGCCGCCTACGATCGAGGCTACCATGGCTGGGAGGATTTCGTTCAACGTGCTAAACTGGGCGATGACATTGACCCTCAGATGAAGGAAATTGGCGATACTGCCGGCGTGGGTGGCCTCTCTGCTCATCAGATTGTGGACATGCTCTTGGAGGCAACGGGCATCGTCGAAGTGCGACATGGCGGAGGACCGGGGCCGGAGTTTCACCCCCCTGCCCCCGCCGTGCGTCCGACGGCATTGTTTGCCCTGGCCGATGTAGCGGCAGCCGAGCTCCCTCGTCCCTCGATAGTCCAGGCCACGCCCCGCCTTTCCGCTCATCGCACGCTTCTCCCGCAGCCTCCTCCATCGGTGGTTCATGGCCCGACGGATCCACGATCGTTTGTGCTTCCTCCTCCCACCCCCCATCGCCAGGCGCCGCGTCGACTTCTTCCTGCGGCACAACAAATCCCTCCGATCAACGAGCAGTTGGGACTGCCCGACCCTTTCGCGTCCAGGAGTGGCCCCCCTCAGCTACCGCCGCCACCAGGCTCGAACTTTCAACGGCCGCCGTTGCCGGGATATCTCGCGGGGCATCATCCCTCGCATCTTTACTATCCACCGCCTCATCCTCCTCCGGGACCACGTCCGCCATACTGACTAGCGGATGGGGGCTGGCGGAGCTGACGAGCAGATGGCGAGAGGGACTTTTGGTTTCATTCAATGGGTTTTGCGTGGGTTGGGTATGACTATGATAATACTGCACTGTTTCTGGAGCGATTTCTTGATTCGATATGATACAATTTCATTTTCCTTTCTATCTTTAGAATTCCGCCTGTCTGATGGAGATCTGCATAACTACTCCGTACACCGTAGGTAACTAATAACACACTAGTTGATGGAAGGAGTGGCGATGACTAACGATGGATCATGATGACTCGCCGCATGACTCCTCACCCCAATCGGGACTAGCGCCGCGGGGCTCGTCGAGGATTTCGTGAACGACGAAAAAGATTCTGGTCTGGGGCGTCGACTTGACCTGCTTATATCTCCCCCTCGCACTTCCCTCGACTGCGCTGGCTTGATCTCCTCATTCACAGCCTTGTTCACCTGTCCGCCTTTCTGCGCATTCTCCTCCCCCACCCTACCTCACACATCTGCCTTGCGCGGGCCTTCCGTCAATCGTCCCTCGTCATTCCCTCCGAATATTGTCTTCAATCCAGTCCCGATAGAATCATGGCTGTCCGCGCTCAATTCGAGAACTCCAACGAGTGAGTGATTGTCGGACATCTTGGCTTGTCGACGCCTTGCATAAGAAATCTCCAGGCCGCTAACAAGCAATCTTCCGACAGAGTCGGTGTCTTCTCCCGACTTACCAACTCGTATGCGATTGTCGCCATCGGAGCCTCCGAGAACTTTTACAGGTACTGCCAAATTCTTGTACCCGCCCGGACGGTGTCCCGTGAGCACGCCGCTGACCTATTCGATTGCGCAGTGTATTCGAGGCCGAACTGCAAGATGTCATCCCCATCTGCCATGCTACCATCGCCGGAACCCGGATCGTCGGTCGTCTAACAGTAGGGTATGTCCGAATCCCTCACGCAAAGCCTCCGCCCTTTTTTGCTTTATATCCGACTCTCTTAGGGATGATCGTTTCTGCAGTGAGCTAACACCACACCAGCAACAAGAACGGCCTCTTGGTGCCCACCACCACCACAGACCAGGAACTGCAACATCTGCGGAATACGCTGCCAGATTCGGTGAAGATTCAACGGATAGAAGAACGTCTTTCGGCGCTGGGAAATGTCATCTGCTGTAATGATCACGTGGCAATCATCCACCCGGATCTGGAGCGAGAAACCGAAGAAATGTAAGGATTCACTTGTCCTCTCTTCGTTTGTTTGGGTTGAAGGGGGCGGGACGTTAGGAAGCACCAGGGAAACAAGAAAAGCAAGGCTGACAGGAATTGACCACAGCATCGCGGACGTCCTCGGAGTCGAAGTCTTCCGCCAAACCGTTGCCGATAACGTCTTGACCGGCTCGTACATGGCCCTCTCCAACCAGGGCGGTATTGTGCACCCCAAGACCTCGATCCGCGATCAGGACGAGCTCTCCTCGCTGCTGCAGGTGCCTCTGGTCGCCGGTAGTGTTAACCGCGGTAGCCCCGTCGTGGGTGCTGGTATGGTCGTCAACGACTGGTTGGCCGTGACGGGTCTGGACACGACGGCCACCGAGCTGAGTGTGATTGAGAGCGTGTTCCGACTGGGCGAGATGGGCCCTCGGGGTGTCGGCATGGGCGGTGCCAACAAGGAGAGTATCGTGGAGAGTTTCTACTAAGCTTCTCAGAACAGAAGTTGGTGGAGAATATATTTTCTGTAACGATTTTTCTTAACGTCCTGGACATTCAAAACTTTTTTTTTTAACCTCTTAGTCCCTCGTCCTTATATCCGCATTGTTTCGGGGGAGTCGATTGGTTTTCCTTTTTTTCCTATCTCTCTCTTTCCTTTTCACGCTTGATTGGACAATTGACATCTCGTTGTTGAGAGAAGGAATAAAAAAAGCATCTACTACGGTGTACACATATGTATCTTCTAATACATACTTTGATTGAGTGGACGGATTGGACTGATATTTTGACCCACGTACCTTTTTCCTTGTAAAATATTGAGATGGAGATTGCAGATAAGAATGAGTATGAGAGAAAAAACTTGTTCTAGATTTGAGTTGTTCTGTTCTGACCAGAGCCTCAGCACTATTTCAAAATTTGGAGGGGGAGGGGGTGGGGACAAGAGGAAAGACAGAAAGAAATTTATTTAGTTATACACTGATTGATCAAAAGAGAGGCAGTTCATCCATCCAACCATCCATCCATGCTTTTTTCCTGCCTGTTGCCTGTTGCCTGTTGCCTGCTTCCTGCTGCTGTGGAATGGAATTTCTTCCAGCGGTATGCAATATAACCATAACCAGTAAATAAGAGCGCAAATATGAGGGGGTATTGACAGTGTACGGTACATGGAGACAAAAAATAAATAAACATGCAAAAGAAAGAAAATGGAGATAAAAACACAGTGAAAATCGAGAGAAATAGCAAAAAAGAAAAAGAAAAAGTAGGTATTATAATAGATACGCAGAAAGATCAACGCCGCTGAACTCCCGTTCGAAATACTTCAGTCAGAAAAAGAAGGGCAAAGGGGTAGAGGGGTGGAGAGGGAAAAAAAAGACAAAAACGAAGAGAGGAAGAAGGGGGGAAAAAAGAGATGATAGGTTGCTCGCTATACCCTCCCTTCAATGTCGATTTGCGATCGCTCGAGCTCATTCAGCTCCGGCGTGTAATCTCCATTGGACTGGAGTTGTTCGGCCGGATTTTCACCGTCGTTGGGAGGGCTGTCATCATTGCTCTCGTCCGGCGGCGGCGGCGGTGGTGGCGGAGGAGGGGGAGGAGGCGTCGAAGAACGTTGTCGTTTCGAAGACGAAGTGGCTTCGTCTCCTAGAATTCCCTCGCCGGTGTTGGACTCGGATCGCTTCCGTTTCTGACCCCCTTGCGGATCTTCCACGCTCGCGGGCGTCTCTTTCTCCTCGGCCTTGTCGCCCTCGTCGTCGGACATCTTGACATCATCCAATGCCTCATCGTCACTGGGGACTTGGGGGGTGTCGTCCGGTTTCGAGTCCGTTCCTTGCGCGTGCTTTTCCGCTTTCCGCTTCTCGAAAGCCCGGTGTTTCACCACGGCTTTGTCGAAGTACTCCTTGCAGAACTTCTTGACCTTCTTCTGCTGTTTTTCGTCGATCTTAGTAGGATCATCCACTCGGTTGTTCTTGAAATCGGAATTGACCAGCTTTTTTGCCACCTATGAGACACGTATTTGGATTAGCAATAGGATTTTATCCGATATTTTTGAAAGGGGTGGCTCGGGGCTTACATCTTTAGCATAACGTTTCAGGTCGTCTTTCGGAAGTTTGTGCTTGAACTTGTCCACAACGTATTTGACGTGGGGGAATAGCTGATAGAGAGGAGAATAAGCAATAAGTCGGAGACACTGGGTCAAGCGAACTATTTCTCACCGTATTTTCGTAGAGCTTCTTTCGCTTGTCTTCGCTGTAGTTCCTCCACTTCTCCTGGCCTTCCTTTTTATCCGGGGTGGGTTTGGATGTTTGCGGGGTGACAGGCGTGCCGGTCTTCTCCTTCGGAGTGTTTTCCTTGGCATTCATGATGCCATCAATGATATCCTGCAGCGCCTTGTCTCTCGATTCTTTGGGTGGCGGAGGGGGTTGGGGTGCCGGCACCGTTGGGCGCGTCCAGGTGGTATCGCCACGCGCCGAGTAGTAATAAGTCCGTCCGTTCGATTCGGCGGCAAACCAACCTGCAGGGAGCGGATTGAATTGACGCCGAAATGACCTGGGTCCGTGATGGTGCGAGGCCCGCGCGCCGCCGCGATTCTGAGCGGTAGGCCCTCTGGGGGCCTCGATTGATCGTGACCTCGATCGAGAGCGTGATTTTGTCCGTCTCCGCTCATCGCGAGCGTTCGTCTCTCGTCGCTCGAATTGATTGACAGCCTGTGCGAAGGCGGCTGGATCTCTCTTCATGCGCGGAATGCGGTAGCCGATTTCCAGCGTCGACCAGCTCTGCAAAAGCGAAGCTGCCTTCTTCTCGACCCGCTCCTCGCCACAACTCGTCAATGGTTGGATGGTCGACTCGATTTTCGAGTCGATGATCTTGTTCCGGGTCAAGCGAGGAAACCCGTCGAGGATGTCCAAGATCTGCAGGGCGACATTGGTGTCATCCTTCCACATGGCCAGCTGCGAGTTGAGAATTTGATAGCCGTGCATCTTGACAACGCGATTGCTAACCCGCTCGTCATCACAGCGTTGAATGCGGCCCAGAAGTTTGACCGCGATCCACTTCTCCTTGCACTGCATCAGAGCCGCCATGACCTTGGTGACGCCGTTTTCATCCAGGGACTTGGGTTGTACGCTATCCACATATTCTTCGTCATCCTCGCCCATCTTCTTCTTGCGTGGGCGCTTGGCCACCGCGGTATCCCATCCATCCGCGTCGTCAATTCCCAAGGCTTCGATAGTCGCATTCGACAACTTGGTAGCACGTTCCGTCTGCGTCCTCCCGCCGATGAAGCCCGTGCAATTTGGCTCGCCACAATAACAGGGCTGGGGGTCGGCGCCGTAGCGGTCGACATTGTAGTTGAAGACGAGTTCTTCGCCGGCCTGAATGCTCCGTTCCGCGAAAATGCCCATGCGAAGCTTCTCTCCAACGACCCACTTGTCGACATAACAGTTGGGATTGCACGAATGGTTACAAAACCGGCCCAAGTTACCCTTTTTGGTCGCGTCGACGAATTCGCCCTTGCTCAGGGACATGAAATAAAAGTGTTTAATGCCCTCCTCGTCGTATTGCCTCATACGCCGTCGAAACGGACCTTCGTTGATCACTTCACCTACATACTCGAAGATGAACTGATGCGGTCGCAGGTCGGCCTCGGCACGCAGGCCGAATCCTTTTTTCTCCGTTTTGATGACAGCCACAGGGGCGTACTCTTTGCGCTGAAATCGCTGGTTTTGACATTCTGGGCCGCATCCACAATCTCCCATGCACTCGATTTTGGTTGCGCGATTGATACAGTCCGAGTCTTCTCCGCATGCCAAATTTTGACCGATAGATGAGTCTGCCTTGCGTTAGAGATGAGCTCAAATTTTTGCGCGAAGATCCGTATACTGGATTCATCGTCAAAAGAGCGAAATTGTAAAGATACGAATTAAAATACGGAGAGTGGCAGAAGTATCGAGGGGGGGAGAAGGAATATGCAAGCGTAGGAAAGAGATGACTGAAATATTCGCGAACACCAATCTTTTTGCGTCCGAAAAAAGAGGTGACACGAGTGGTTGAAAAAACCAAGCAGGGAAAGCGTGCAAAGTACGGGAAGAAAATCGAGGATTAAAAAAATTCTTACCCCATTCCTCAGCACAATCACATTCCATCGCATGTTCCGTATAACCCATATATTTGTTTGCATACGTGCACGTTTCCATCAACTCGAAAGTCGACCGAGCTTCCGCGGTGCTATCTGGCAAATGCGAGAACAACTGCGGCGGGCGCGGGACAACCTTCTGGGACGAGCTGCGAGTCAACTTGGGAGGCTGTCCGGGCTCCAATTTGACCGTGATACCGCCCCCGATTCTCTCCTCCGTGGCGGCATCATCGAGGTTGTCTGCGTGTTCATCAAGTTGCTCATCTTTTTTGATCGGAGTGCGCGAGGAAGACCGCGATTTGGCGGCGAACGCAGTTGGCCCATTGTTCTGGTCGATCGTGGGTGGTGAGTTGGACGCCCTCTCGGGGTCATCCTTGATCACGGCGCTTCCGCCATTCGAGGTGGGAGCATCGGTGGCACTGTCGGGCTCCAGCTTCATCGCGGTCACCCCATCCGCTACAGATTCTGACTGACGGTCCGCGTAGTCATGGGGTAACATGACGACACGGACGGCGCGCGCCTAGTACCGGAGCCAGCAAGGGAATGCGCTGGGGGTGGCAGCTGGGGGAGGGTGGAAGGGCGAGAAGGGTGGAATTGGCGGAAGAGTTGGCAAAATGGTGGAGTGGAGAGGTTGAGGTGATGGAAAGAATGGGAGAGAGGCAGAGGGCGAGGAAGAAGAGAGAATGATGGGGTCACGGGCAGACCGAGAGGGGAAAGAAAGAAAGGCGAGGAATTGCGAGTCCAGAATTGGTCGTGAACCAGCCAAAGTCCAAAGTCGCCGTAAAACAAACCTCCACGTTTTTTTTTTTTTTTTTTCCTTTCTTTTTTTTTTTTTTTCCCTCCTTCTCTCTCCCTTACCCGCGCCAAGAAATGTCTGGAAGGAAAAAGAAAATAGAATCAAGGAATTGTTCACATTTAATACGCTTCTAAAGCCCTCGACGACCTGGCTCGCATGGGCTTCGGCTTGCTATTCATTCACTCCGTTGTCCACTCTTTCAATTGTCACTGTCCTCGGAAATATCATGGTGCTAAAGGGGAAAAAAGACAAAATAGAACACGATTTGGTTTCCCCCCTTCTGAATGGTCGTTGCGCTCGCCGCGCATCTCTCCCAATCATGCACTAGAACTGCGCCCTTCTCGACACAGAAAGTCGGCTAATGATCATCGGCCGTGGATCGGAAGTCCTGGGTTATGTCGATACAAGAAGCCATGGGATCAAGCGGTGCTTTCCTGTTCTCTCTTGCTGTTTATTCACTGGCGCGAAGAGGGACGTGTTCGGCCTCAAGCCAGGGCGGTATCTTAAGGTCCGAGTCTGCACCGACAGCAGCTTTTCTCATAAAAAAGCCCCACGAGAACAGA